ATTCTCTCTGGCATATACGGTTCTGCCATTTCATCATTGAGAAGTAAATCTGAATCCAGAAAGATATTTTGATTTTTCTAATTCCCCATCTAGGTTTGTATTTTGAACTTGTGATAATTAGTTAATTTATAAATACATGCCTTTATTACGAAAAAAATGCTTTTATTAGAGCAAAATAAATTTCCATTTGGTTTGGATATTACAGAGTTCTTTTACTATGCAGTAATAAAATAAGAACTGTATTCTTTAAAGTTCGGATTGATTTGGTTGCTTAGATTCAAGGAATAAGAAAGTTGGGGTTGATGGCTTCGTGTTAAATTACTAGCTTATTGCTTTATTGGTGCCGATTGTGCATTACTGAATAAGAAAGTTGGGGATTGATTTTGGTTGCATTACTTGCATAGATGTAGAAAAGGGTAATAATGAATAGGGTAAATGAGGACAAATTATGAATAGGGTAAATGAGGAAATTCAATAATTTTGTGGTTGTGGAAAGAAATAAAGGGGATGTCATTAGAAACACCTTTTAATACCCTCTTCAATCAATCAATGTATGAAATTAGGAGTCCAAAATGCCATTTTTAACATTTTGGACTCCTAATACATCACCACTCAATTTGGTCTTAGACGTCTAGGACCTTACTTTGTTGCTAATCTGTGATAGTGCTCCGTATTTACTTCTAGGGACCTTACTTCTATTAAAGCTATATACATATATTTTGATTTGGGCTAAAGTTACATTTTTATTAAAGCAATTTACATTTCCGTTTAGTTCAAGTTACATTTCAGTTAACACGATTTACATTTTGAATTATCATAAATTAGATTTCAATTAACGTGATTTACATTTTTTAATTTCCTCAAGTTACATTTTATACACCCTCAAATTACATTTTGATTTGTCTAAAGTTACATATTGTAACACGCGGTTTACATTTCACATATGAAAAATGATCAAACTATTAGAGGGAGTAACATGAGTTTTTCAAGGCACAAGTTACATTTGCCGCTCATTGAAGTTACATGTGTAATAATGCGAGTTACATTTTATTATAAAGGAAATTATATTGCGAAAATAACCAGGAAAAAATTCACAATTAGTGTTCATCCGCATTTTTTATTTAATAATTAAGTCAAATGACACCTATGAGAGTATGATCCTCACCGTGGGTTGCTCCCACGGTATAACAATTCATTGATGACTGGTGTATTAAAAAAAGTGTTATCTTAAATTCTTTTCTAGACTCAATGATTCTTTTCTAGACTCAATGAAGGATATTGGATTATCGTTCTTTCTAGCTCCAACCCCTAATAGTTCAAATAGTAATGTTTCTAACCGTGCATCTCTATGTTCTTTATCAATAACTAAAGTCCCGTTCAATATTGTTTTGAGCTTTTTTTTTTAGAAAACAAAAAATAGTTTTTAGTTTTTTATTCCCATTTTTTGAAACCGTTTTGATTTTGGTGCTGATTCCTTTTGGCTTTTTTCAATCTTAGAAGCAAATAATTACGTTTGAATGAAAGAAAATATCATTTTCAAAGGAAAAATCGCTTTAAATGTCATTTTGGCGGCATTGTGGTAACAGATCAGCGGCAGCGAGAGTCGAAAATTTCTGGTGATCGGCGGCGACGATTTGATGGCGTCTAGTGGTGGCCCGACGACAACGTTATGGTGACATTTGGTGGCAATCAGCGGTGCATTATGGTGGTATCCGGTTGCAGTCTTGTAGAGGTCGGCGGTCTGGTGGTGGCTCGGTGGCGATCGGAGGCAATGGTCCCGGGGCAGGCCTATAGTGATTGATGGCGGCAGTCCGGTGGCAGCCTGGTTGATTGTCCAAAGGTAGCCGCCGCCGATCTAGATGCGGCTTGACGATGGTCCGATGGCGGTCTGATGATAGTCTACGGGACGCCAACGGTTGTTCGGTGGAGGGCATAAGTGGTATGGCAGTGGTCGTCGCCGATCGGCGGGCTGTGGTTCGATTGTTCGGTGGCAGCCGGAGGCGGTCTGAATTTGGTCTGGTGGCAGCCGTCTGTAGTCTAGTGGTGGCCTAGTCAATAGCGACAGACCGGCGGTGGACGCCAGTGATCTTGCGGCAGCCCGACGGTGGTCCATTTGTGGTCATCGATTCTCCAGTGGTGTCTGACAGTGGTCTGACAGTGATCCTATGTAAGATTTTAATAGTACAAGACTTGGTATGAGAGATAAATCGATAACAAATTTACGGAAATCGTGTTTTGTGAATTTCAAAATACTATTTTAAATATACTTCGTAAGGTTATAAGTTTGGAAACAGAAACATCTTTTAACCAAAAGATGAAAAAACAGAAAAAATTAAGGATATCATTATAATTAAATAGATGGTCCGGGGAAAACAATTGATTAAAGGATCTTATCAAGATGAAACTCTAATGGATCTCTTTTGAGAGAGATGAAAACTAGGTGCAAATTTTTGGGATTTACTCTTATTAAACTTTTGTTATTACAATATATAAATATAAATACTCCGTATTACATTAAAATTAATACTTCTTTCCTGCGACATTTTTTAATTAGTCTGCCCAATAAGTTTTAATCCTGCCTCTTGAAAGAATGTTAAAATGTTGTGTGGCTGGTATGCACACCCGAATCCCTGATATCGTCCAATAATGATTTGCTCCCCTCCAAGCCCTACCAACAGAGACCTTTTCAAGCTCTAGTTCCAGTATTTGTGACTTTCTCGATGTGGAAGTTGGCAACTCTTTAATGCAAATGACGATGGTGTCGAGGTTTGGCCCAATGTCAACGTAATCCTCCTGCCTTAGAGGTCCATTAATGGGTTATTATTCAGCTTTTCAACTTCTTTTTCTTTTTTTTTAAAATTGTCACGGTAATAATAATTTATGATTTTGTTTTATCTCTCCTTTGTACAATTTTTTACAATATACGGAGTATATTTTATTTTTCTTATTTCACATCTAACACAAATTTTACAATTTCCACGTACCTCCATAGCCATAAACAAAGAAAAGGCCTGCAATTGAGATTGAAAAAATGGATTAAAAGGACTCAGATATTACATTTAGACTATACAATGATATAATAAAGGTTACCGCCCAGATGTCGATTCAACGCATCTAAAACATTCAAGTAAATATTCCTCTGCTCATTTGTTAATTTCTCAATGAGATCTGACAATTCTCGTGCTAAAGTTTCTTTATCAATGAGATCTGGCAATGTATAATAATAATGTACGTACTGAATATAGTGTCCATATATAATATACTGTGTGTATATGTAGCACTACAAAAAAACAGGGCCGTAGTCACAAACTTAGTCACGGACCGTAGTGTTAAAAATCTGTGACTAACTTCTTTAGTCACAGATTTAGTCACGGATGGAATCGATGACTAAATGGGCGTGACTAATGGAATGACACATGTCAATGTGACTTCCAATTGTATAGTATATAGATATAGATATAGATAGCAACTCCGGTCACGAATTAGTCACGGATGTTGGCCGTGACTAATCCGTGACTAACCTTAGTCATGGACAAACTTGTGTGACTAATTTTAGTCATGCCCATTAGCTTTTTTTCTATAATTTAGAAATTTTGGGACAAAGTTAATTGCATATTCAACCATATTATTAAAAACACGATTTCAAAATTTAAAAAATGGTTCTTGGAGGGGGTTTTGCGCATGATTAATCATAATACAGGGGGGTTTGACGCATTTTTTAAATCATAGGGGACTAATGCGCCAAATTTTTATTTCATGAGGGGGTTTGATGCATTAAACCCTAGACAGTAAAGTATATTTTATGATAACCCTAAATGTAATAAATACAGTAACAAGTAAGTCATTTCTGCAATCTTGATAAATCATTTATGTAATAAATATTTTGAAAATGTTATATACATAATATTTCCATAATCAATACTTCTAAGTAAACTATAACAAAGCCATCTTCTATCTTATTGTGACATTCTATCTGTATTGATAATATTCATTGTGGGCGGTCCAGCCCAACTGGCGCCGACTCACTCTCCCTTACGTGAGGTCCCGGATTCAATTCTCAATGAAGTGAGATTAAACCCAGTTTAACCTAGCCCCCCAAACCCCTTTCCCCTTGACGCCCCCTAAGGTAAAAAAAGATAATATTTACCGCGGAGAAGACTCTTTCCAGGGTGATTATTGCAATTGGTTCACATTGCAATAAGATGATATTCCAAGTTATAAGAATTGTGAACTCTAAACTCAACCATCTTTTTACATAATATTCACATGTCCTTTGAATGATAGGAAATACTTCATTTGTTCTCATTCATTTTCTCTTAAATCTTGAAATTTATCATTAGAGCTCTTAAGCAAGTTCAATTTTCTCAAATATTTTGATCTTTTTATTACAATAAATGCTAATGCGGGTACAATTTATCCATCAACCCCAACTCTTTATTCATCAAATGAGCAATAAAAACAAATTGCTTATTCTTGATCTTACATATATCCACATTTTAAACAAGTGCAATAATAAAAAAGATATTCCATCAAAAAAGCAATTAACATTTTACTTTGGAATTTATTTAAACAATTGGTGTGCATTCATGTATGAGTTTATTTAGAGAAATGGAGTATTACTAGTTACTAGTAAAAGATTGCAGCTATAAGCCTACAACTTTAGGGCTTGTTTGCAATCAATTAAAAAAAGTGATTTTGGCTTTTTTATAAGAAAAAAACACTTATTTTACCAAACACTATCAACTTTTACTTCCTCGGTTTTCGTGTAGAATCTACTTTTTATTTTTTCTATTACACAAAAAGCACTTATTTTACCAAACACTACCAACTTTTACTACTAATCACTTTTTCACAAAAAGTACTTTTATTTAAGCACAAGTGGTTGCAAACAGCGATTGTGTGTATAGAAAATTAGTGCAAAAATCGAAGTGGTCAATGAGGCGCCTAGTTGTCTTCCTATGAACTTAAATACTCTTGAGTTTTCCCACCGATTGTGTGTATAGAAAACAAAAATCGAAGGCAAAGGGTGAACAAAATTAACTCCGGTTGAACCTGATAAAAGGCAGACCGTTTGGAAAGAGAAAGGAAACAGGGAAAGAGTCGAGGGAGGAGAGAGTTAACATAAGGAGAGCAGTCTCTTTTTCTTTCTTCTTCCCCCTCTCTGTTTCCTGTATTGGATACTCATCATCTTTGTCTTCTGCAGAGATGATTTCCTTAAATGGGCCCGCTTTCATGGTATTCCTGATCAAGCCCTCTCATTTATTCGGTTTTCAAAGCACCCATGGGTTAAGAATTAGGTTACTGTGTGAAAAAGCATGGATTTTTGGTTTCTTGATTTTGTATAATTTGAATTTGCGATTTGTTTTGCAGACAATTTCGGGGATTTCGAGGTGCTTGACACAGTCACAGTGTCAGAGAAAATTTTCAGCTCCGTCGGTGGTTGCAGCCGTCAGCTCGAACGGCCGACCCGGAGACCGAAATGTGAACGTCGCGATGGGGAGTGCTCTGAAGGAGATGACCGAAACCGCAGCTGTCGTGGAGAAGGAGACCAAATCCACCGTCACCGGCGGAGTTGGAGATGTGTACGGCGAGGATGCTGCCACCGAGGATCAAACGACAACCCCTTGGACTGTCTCTGTTGCAAGGTACAAGATCTAATCTTTTCTTCAGGTTTCACTTTTTCCCAGTTTGTCCTCTCTATTTCAGCTCTTGTGAAGTGTACTCGTATTTTTTTTATGCCAGATTGCCATTTCTGGGTATACCCGATCCGTTAATTTTAAGGAAATCTTTTTAAATCTGCGTGATTCTATAATTTGAAGTGATACACAGTATCTGGACACGTTTTATCTTGACATCTTTTTTTTTAAATAGCTAATGTCTGTAAGGAAATAAAAAATGGGTTGTGTTTATAAGCTAGAATTAATTGTCATAAAATGACAAAATACCCTTTTTGATTTCAACTAGTTAAAAATGCCAACCAAAAGTGAAATAAATATGAGAGGGAAACGCAGTCAATGTACTATGTATTTCCCAATTTATTGGGTTGCTAGATGAATACTTAGTTTCGATCAGAATCCGTTTAGTTAATTGAGATTGTAAGATGGAGCATAAAAGATGCATTATTTGATGTAATTACTTTCTTGCATGTGATGTCATATAGACACAGTTCAGTGTGATGTCTTGATAGTTTACTGCCCTTGCCCGAAAGAAATGACTCGTGGTTCTTGGTTGGTTCGAGGATTTCGGAGGGGAGGGAACATGAAGTGATATTATTTTTTCAAATAATAACTACATTTAAATTGTTCGAAATAAAGGGATGCTAAAATTGAATATCGAATCACACAATTATTTATTGTTTAGAAATAATAAAATGAAATAAATTATAAAATTTTAAAATAAGACTCATCCCCCTGAAATCCCCCAACCAAACAAGCTCTTAGAGTCTTCGCTGCGGGTTGATCATAATGAGAAAAAATGGTCCTTTGTGGTGCAGTGGATACACATTGTTGCGTGATCCACACTACAATAAAGGCCTTGCTTTCAATGATAAAGAAAGGGATGCTCACTACTTGCGCGGACTTCTTCCTCCCGTGGTTGTTAGTCATGACCTTCAGGTTATTTATAGCATAATTCTCTACTTCACACTGATTGTGTTATGAATTTTTATTCACAATTATCACAATATAGTTTCTATTTGAAATAATTAGAAACTTTTTCTGCTCTATCCTAACAGGTTAAAAAGATGATGCACACTCTCCGTCAGTATGATTTACCATTGCAGAGGTACATGGCCATGATGGATCTGCAGGTAACATTGCAACAATATTCACTTTCTATTTCTCAGTGTCTTATTGGTATTGCACCTGGAATATGTCGTTATTGGAATTTTAATTCAACATTGTAAAGACTCACTGAAAAGGACATGCCTTAGTATATTTGCATCCTCCGTCTGAAAAAAAGGATCCCGTTTCAAAGTATTTCCCAACAAAAGAAGTCTTTTGTAACAAAAGAATCTTGATTTCATTGAATTTATTGTAACTTTTCCAAAAAGAACAGTTCCAGAAAAGGTATGTATGGTAAATTGAGTTCTTAAAGAAAGAAACATTTTTGCAAATTTAAGTAAGGTCAAAAGTTTACCAGAGTTGTACTTTTCGAAACTAAAATTTGTACCTTGATGATTTTTTTCTTACTTTGGGACATAGGGAGTAGCATTAGCAAAGCATGTTTGCGAAACACACCCTCATATTCTCTATTTCATTTCTTTCTCATTTTTTGTGCAGGAGATGAATGAAAAGCTATTTTACAAGCTTCTTATTGACAATGTTGAAGAGCTTCTTCCAATTGTCTATACTCCCACTGTGGGTGAAGCTTGTCAAAAATATGGAAGCATCTTTAGGCGACCTCAAGGCCTTTTTATAAGCTTGAAAGAACGGTATTTAAACTATTGTTTAATTATACATTTTTAGTTTCTCAATTTTAGGCAGAAAGTTCATTGGTGGAAGCCATATGTAGGGGGAGAATTCTTGAGGTAATGAAAAATTGGCCTGAGAAAAAAATTCAAGTCATTGTTGTCACTGACGGAGAAAGAATTTTGGGACTTGGTGACCTTGGTTGTCAGGTATGACGTATACTAACCTTATTCAATTCTCAATATCATTTTTTATCGGCTGCATGACTTCTTTGAAATATGCCAGCTGCCCAGCGGTTAAACAAGCTCACTACATGATTTGCATGCTTCAATTAATTATGTTGTTTTGACTGTAATTTTTTAAATTCAGGGCATGGGGATACCTGTAGGAAAGCTCTCATTGTATACTGCTCTTGGGGGCATTCGACCCTCTGCTGTAAGTACTTGTGTGGAAATTATTTGTATATTTAGCTACTTCCTCCTTTATGGGTTTGGATAAGTTTGGTTCATGTCTTTCTAAGCTTAGCCTTTCTATTGATATATTTTATAATATAGCTAAAACACACTTACATCTCGCCTATAAACAAAACCATGTCTGGCTGTCTAATTGGTAATGTTTGAGTAATGGTTTGATAGATTTGGTTTAGGCAAAAGTATATGTTTCTATTTCTCGCTTCTGCTTTTTAATTTCGTTAACAGTTTTTTCCCAAAAGAGGTTAGGAGTATTCTTGTTTGTTTTCAGTTTGTCACAGGACCACTAATCCTTCAACAGAAACTGTTACTTATATTGCTAAAATTTTGAATGATATGAAACTAACTGATGTATTTGACAAATTGCTTTCCTTTTCAGTGCTTACCTGTAACCATTGATGTGGGTACAAACAACGAGAAGTTGCTAAAAGATGAGTTTTATATTGGTCTCAGACAAAAGAGAGCAACTGGGCAGGTTAATGACCCATTTTCTAACAATCTCAGTCTGGACCCATTTTTTTCTAACGTCTTTTGTCCATAAACTGAGACAGTGTATATTGGCATCCCTAGGAATATGCTGAACTCATTGATGAATTTATGGCTGCCGTCAAGCAGATGTATGGGGAGAAAGTGCTTATTCAGGTTTGCTTTTTCTGGGGGCTCTTAATTGCTGTTAGATTGTTATTCTATTTACGTCGGACGTAGTTCTAACTTTTTTTTGTTTTTTGTTTTTTTGGTAGTTTGAAGACTTTGCAAATCATAATGCATTTGATCTTCTTGCAAAATATGGCCCTAGTCACCTTGTTTTCAATGACGATATACAGGTATGTAGAGCATTTCCTTCCTCTAGTCGGAGTGGTAAGTTGGATTTTTTTGGTGTGGTGTGAGTTTACTTAGGGTATGTTTGGATGGGTGGTTTTGGAGGGGTGACTTGGATCGACTAATCTACTTGATTCATAGAATGTATCTAAGAACAAATAAAAGTTGATTGAAAAGTTAAATGATCGGGTCTGTTTGAATGAAGTGTTTTGGAGCACGAAGTCTATATCTTGTTTTTTTTTTACTCCAGGGGGTCTGGGGGAGGGGGGTTGGGGGGCCTGGATTAATCAGGGCTGAAACTCAGGCCATTGAGTTTCAAATCCATATGTGCCTAGCGGGTTTCGAACTCAAGACCTCCCACTAGGCACGATAACCTCACAACCAGCTGGGTTGGATTGCTTGATTTAAGTCTGTATCTTGATATATACTACGTAGTACCTTTTTTAATCTAATTGTTCTGTATTCCTTTTGGGGCGTTGTTTATTAGTTGCTCCCTTTTCTAATTTTGCGAGTTTAATTCTCACCTCCCTACTTTTTACCTATACATAAATATCCGTGTTTTTCCATCTTTTCTTCTGTACTTCCAGCCCAGCAAATTCTTGGAGCTATGAAGAGGCACTCAAGTGCTTAAAGGAGTAGTTTTTCTATTCTTTATCATTTGTCATTTAGTATCCACCACCCCTAGGATGTTTTTACTTAGACTGTAATTTGCTGGTCTGGTCTGATCTGGTCTGATCTGAACTGGTCTGGTCTGGTCTGGCAAGGTCTGGTTTCTTTGTATTTTATAACTATCCAAGTCTGGTCTGGTCTGAATTGGTCTGGTCTGGGGCAAATTACAGTCCAAGTACAAACATCCCTAATCAACAAAAAACATAAGGAATAAATACATAAGAGATTTTATTAAAGAGTAGAGTATAAATAAATATATATGTGAATATATGTGTGTGTGTTAGGGCCGCACATCGGGCGGGTTGGGTTTGCTATATTTTTTGGGCCTACCCGATTTTTTCGGGTTGACTATTAACCAACTCGCGGTACACAAAATAAGTTGGTAAACCATGCATGAACGGGTCGGGTAGGGTCGGGTATTGAAAAAAATCAATTCGGGTTGCATCTTTCATGTGTGAAATTAATGTAACTAATTTAAAACTCGATTAACTTGTTTCCAAAACACACAAACAAATACAAGTACTCGTATCTTTTATAAGCAAAAACATTTGGTAATAGTATTAAAACATCCTTCCGTAAAAAAAAGTTCATTTAGAAGGAAACGTAAATATATAATAATCACCTAGTCAAAATGGTAAATGTTTAATTATAATTCTAATATCATAAAGTCCTAGATCGACACATCGGTCTTAAATTGAAATTATCAAAGAAAACATTGTAGCATAATAATAGTAAAATGAACTTCGGCCGGGTCGGGTACTATCGGGTTTGAGATTTTAATTCTGCAACCCTACCCATTAGGTGCGGGTTCAAACATATTTAACCCATGAATATTTTTTAAAATCAAATACCCGATTAAATAGGGTCGGGTAGGGTTGGGTCGGGCGGGTTATGCGGGTTCGGGTTATTCTTGTGCAGCCCTAGTGTTTGTGTATGTATGTATTCTAAATAGGGGGCGGATCAGGTACAAACTGTGCTTATTGTGCAAACATTTGTACGATGCATCTTTATGATATTTGTATTGCGTATTGAGCTTCAAAGTGTTGCATATTATTCGGCCATAAAATAGCAGTTGCATATTAATATTCAAAGAGTTGCATCCTAAAAAAGTTGGCTTCTATTACAAAAATGTCACTATGCCTTTATAGCCTGTAGATCAACTCATCGAATGACCGAGATGAGTTTGTAGTTTCTAAACTACGGAGGGTTTGTATTTGATCTCCATTCTTGTGCAAAGAAAGTTTCTCATGCAAAGTTAAAATAAATCTTGTGCATTCATCTCTAGATCTAATCAAAATGAGCCAACAATGGACTAGATTTGATAAAAAATGCGGTGGCAATTTCGTAAATAAACCAAAGTTTTTTGCCGCTGCAGAAAAGTGCAATAGAAACATGTAACAGTGCATCACAACAGTGAGCAAAAAGTGCACCAGTTCGCACTTTGCACAGGAAAACTGCCTTCCCGGTTGAATTTTCAGCTGAAATTTAGTGGACATAAACTAGACTTGATGGAAAATGTGCTTAAAAAATTTCATCACAAAATTCCATCGGGAAGATCCCCAAATGGTCTTGGTCGGACGGCGAGTCCTGTCACGCCCGATCTGATAGATCGCTACTCTATATATATTGAGTTTGTAAAATTTGTGTTTATAAAATGGAAAAAAAGTAGTGGCTAATCTAATAACACTTAGTTCACGATTTATTAATTTTAGAAACTTTCGATGTAACAAACGCAGAAGTAATATATTGAAATGTAACCTTGGAAGAGAGAATTTATGTAAATTCATACAGGTCTAGTTCGTACATTACAAATCTTGTGTATAATATGAGCATAATATACGTTTAGGAGGCATTAAACCTTAATAGTACTCCCTCCGTCCTATAATTATCTTCATTCTTTCCATTTCGGTTCGTCCCAAATTTATCTCCTCTTTCCCTTTTTGGTAAAGAATATGTAGTTCACAACCATTCTTACACATTTCTCTCTCCTTTGCACAACTCTCCACCATACAATTCCCACTATCTTAAAACCTGTGCCCAGTCGAAACCGAATATAAATATAGGACGGAGGGAGTATGTATTAAGCTCATAACAGAAGCAATTAGATTATGGTAGGGCTACAATAAATAAATATATAGACTTTGCTTGAATGTCATCACCTCCAAAATCCTATAAACCTTTAGTCCAAGTCTCTCTTAAGAATTATTCAAATCCTCTGAAGGCTGAACCCCCTCAAATCATGGATTCCCTTGAGAATAATTATAACAACCATCTCCTTGCTAATTATATTCCAGGGCACAGCATCTGTAGTGCTTGCAGGGCTTATAGCAGCACTAAAGAAAGTTGGGGGCACATTAGCTGAGCACACTTTTTTATTCCTTGGGGCCGGAGAGGTATTTACACTTCTATACTTTAACTTCTCTTGTTTGCATATCACATTATCACTCCTTTCGTCTCTTTAATTTCTTTGATTGGTTCCTAAGTTCCTTCACGTAATGCATGCAGGCAGGCACTGGTATTGCTGAACTCATTGCACTTGAGATTTCAAAACAGGTTGAAACATTACCACAATATCTCTCCTTTCAATTTGTTCTAATAACAGTGCCAAATTGAGAAATTGTAATTGACTTAACTTATATAGACTGGAGCTCCCGTTGAAGAAGCTCGGAAGAAAATATGGTTGGTAGACTCCAAGGTATATTACGCAAATTCACAATTCTCATATGTTTGTTTGTCCTCGAGTCTCGAGATATTGCCTTTAACATATGAATTTCACTGCAGGGGTTGATTGTTAGGTCCAGGCTGGAGTCACTTCAGCAATTTAAAAGGCCGTGGGCCCACGAACACGAGCCCGTAAAGAAACTTTTGGATGCAGTCAAAGTAAGAGTCTTGTCTTGCATCGCTCTAGTCTCTTCTCTTTTGTTCTGGAGGCCCCGCGTTGGATTATGAAGTTTGGCTGAAGTTAAAGTTAACTTTCCCATAATAATTTTTATACTATTTTTAATAATCACAAGCATATATTATAAACTACATTAAAAGTTTTTGAACAACAAATACCCAATTCCAGTATGATAAAAGTTGATACATAAAATTAGACAATAAAGGAACTAGGTTGGCCGTAAAATAGTGGATGCCGGCCTGGATAGTACTTTTAAATTGGGATGGATGTAGTAGTAATGACAACAACAATGATAATTAACAAATACAAATAATAATGCCATGAAGACTCATATGCACATTTGGATCCCAAGGCCAGTCCTTAATGAGTTGTGTATTTTTGTTTCAGGCAATTAAACCAACAGTCTTGATTGGATCTTCTGGAGCTGGGAGAACGTTTACTAAAGAAGTCATTGAATCTATGGCTTCCTTCAACAAGGTCTCCTCCTATTTTATTCTTTTCATTTTCCTACCGTTTGACTTTTGTTTTTCTGGTTTGACTGGAAATAATGAATTAACATTGGTGAAATTGACGTATGGCATGCAGAAACCTATCATTCTTTCTCTCTCAAACCCAACATCACAGTCGGAGTGTACTGCAGAAGAGGCTTATACTTGGAGTAAGGTAGTGTTTGCTTGTACACATGATTATTAAAATATGTTTACTCATAGCTAGTCAACTTACTACTACACCTGTTTTTTATTGTTTCAGGGACGAGCTATTTTCGCTAGTGGAAGCCCATTTCCCACATTTGAGTACAAGGGAAAGAGTATATCGTCTGGTCAGGTAACTCATGAACTCAAGTCTTTCTTCTATTGCTTATAAGTTAGAAATTTAGTTAGGATGGTTAAACCCCTCAATGTGTCTATTTCACAGGCAAACAATGCATATATATTCCCTGGGTTGGGTCTTGGACTGATCATTTCGGGCGCAATCCGTGTACATGATGACATGCTTCTTGCAGCCTGTAAGTAGTTAGGATTTTCTTTAAGCTATTTTTGGAACACAGGACAAAATTGGAGTGAAAAAAGTGTTCTGGAGCATAGTGTTTTATGGCCTCTTGGAACTACATAATTCTAGGGAAAGAAAAGATGGAGTAAAACTGTAAAAGCATGGGTGAGATTTCAGATTAAAGAAAATATAGAGGAAAAGTACAACACTGGGTTCAAACTCAATAGATTTATTATAAAATTTATTAAAGTTCAATTTTTTGTTATTCTGTATTGTATAAATACTAGTAAATCTAAATATGTGTGAGGAACGTATAACAATAATAATCTTTTATTTTTTGTTTGAATTTCAGAGGTAAAACCAAACACACTTGATTTCTTTTATTAGCATTCTCTTTTCCTCATTTTCCCAGGATCATAGGATCAAAATGTTCGGTTTTATCTAAAATAAATAAAATAAATGAGGAAAACTAAATTTGATTAAAGCGTTTTTAGAATGTACCTATTGTATATTCATAAATATAAGTTTTTTTTTAAACATAAGTCTAATTTATGTAAGTTCGAACAAATTTTCATTCCCTAGCCTTTTTAATCTTTATTTTCCAAACAGAACTTTATTAATCAGGGTCTACAAAGGATAACAGGAACTTAGTCCAGGTTTGAGGCATTAAATTTTGCACCAAATTCTATCTGACCTTTTTTGTATGAAAAAAAATCTGGAACAGCGGAAGCTCTCGCTGCGGAGGTCACACAAGAAAACTTTGACAAAGGACTCATATACCCTCCATTTTCCAACATCAGAAAAATTTCAGCTCATATCGCTGCCAAAGTAGCAGCCAAAGCATATGAACTTGGTATGTTATATTCTCCCAAGATTCATATTACTCTTCTTGATCTCATATTAGAATTGTTCTACCATAGAGTTTATTAATATCCTTGCATTCAAGACCCCAGATGTTTGGTTGTTTGAATGTCGGGGCATGGTGGCCATTTTAATTTTGTTAGGGTAAAATGCAGAATTATTCATGATTCATCTCATTTACGTAACTGATGTGGTTTATGTGGTATATAAAGGTTTGGCGACGCGTATACCCCAACCAGAGAACTTGGTAGCATATGCTGAGAGCTGTATGTACAGCCCCTCCTACCGCAGTTTTCGCTAAGCTGATGCAATGATCAATATAATATATACAGATACCAGTTTCGTTTCAGGATTAGATACTGTTTTTACTTGTGCTGATTCCCCTTCAGTAAAAAGCAGGGGAATGTTAGATTGGCAAATGCATTATAGTGAAGATGTTGTTCCTGGAAAAGAAGAATAATAGTAATAGTAATAATAGCAGTCTGCTTTAAAACATTTGTAAGCATTTCTTCATCCGTTGTGGGTTTACTTGGTTTAGTTGAAACTTGAAAGGCATAACATCAAAAACCATGTTGTAACTTTTGGAAGAGTTAATTACTTCAATGTATCTACACCTCAATGAGATTTGGTCAAATCATCAAGTGACCCTTGCCTAGAGAGTGTTAAAATCACAAACGAGGTGATTTACTGGCAGGTTTTTTTATAGCTCCTTTATTTGACATCGAAAGATTGCAAGATATAATGCCATGCTCTGTATTAACAGAAGATTTATAGTTTTTGATGGATTTTCAGTTGAAAAATCTAGAGTTTTCCCAAATTGATTGTTGGTTCATTTTTTTCAGATTATTAGTGGAGATTAAGAGCCTATGTGGGGACTTTTTTGGCTTATCAAATTTATCAATCAACTTTTTCATTAAACACGTAACTTTTGATTTCTTAATGTAATAATAAGACAATGTTAGGACTTAGGATGAAGTTATTGTAGATGATTATTTCATCTATTTTTTCATATAATTTTTTCTTTAATTTATTTATAAAACATATTTTAAATAGGATTTTGTCATAAATCAGCATAATTAGTCAATTCAATCACTTCAGTCAAAATTTCATAAATTTCACCAGAATCAGTTAATACATTATTGAAAGTAGGTAGATTAATAATAGTAAAAAAAGATATACATTATTGAAGGAAATATGGGAAGATGGTGAAAATGTGATGGAATGAAGGATAAATCCAAAAAAATAGTTGTAATAATGTATTATTTTTAAAATTATTTAAGATATGATAAGAAAAATTAGAATTGAGAAGACTTTTCGTTACGGACGGAAAAGGAAAGCGAGAAGATTTTTATGTTACACTATTTTATACTCCATAGTATTTTTTGTTGTTGTTTAATGGGGACATTTTTGAGCTGATGTACTCCCCGCCCACTCACCATATATAGCCTACCCTTAATCAGTATGTAAAATTGCACAGCATTAAGAGTCATTAATCCATTATATTAGGAGTAAAGGATTGGTTTGGTACTCGAAGTTGCATAAAAAGGGTCAAATAAGTCCTTATATAGGAGACTCTGTCTAGCCGACATCATTTGGGGCGGTTTCCGGTGGAATTTTTTGACGAAATTTTTCTAGTATCTTATTCATGAAGTCTACTTTACTCATACCAAATTTTAGCTAAAACTTCAATCGGGAAGGCATTCAAATAAATTCTTGAAGATAACTGAGCGGTTAAAAGCGCAATTATCCTTAAGAATTCATTTGAACTCCTTCCCGATTGAAGTTTTAGCTGAAATTTGGTATGAGTAAACTAGACTTAATGAATAAGATACACAAAAAAATTCAACAAAAAATTCCACCAGGAACCACTCCAAATGGCGACGGCCGGACAGTAAGGACCTATTATTTGACCCTTTTTATGCAACTTCGAGTACCAAACTGACCCTTTACTCATTATATTAGGCATAAATATTAGGTAGATCCTCCCCTGGTTGCCTCTATATAAGGGACTAAAACATGAGGAGGAGAATAAATGGGTATGGGTATGCGGCGGAGTTTCTTCTTATTAGATTTTTTATTAGTATTTCATACTAGTACTAGTAAAAAAATAAAAATGTTGGGCAGGGGCAAGCCCCCCTACCCCTATACCCTACCTTCGTCCCCGGGGAGAAGGATTGAAGGATGAGGTAAAGAACCAGGTGGCTGAGAGCGGAGGAAGGAGAAGAAACACAGAGAAAAAGAGGAAGAAAAAAAACCAAATGGACACTCAACGTGAGCGATTAACCGGAAGATCTGGTCTTTATAGGCTGAATGGCTCAATTGACTGTTTTCATGAGTTCGAGGCTCAATTGGTTGAATTTAATGTGCAAAAATTTAATTAATTAACTTTTTTCATATAGTAGGATGACCTGTTTGACAGTTTTTCCACCATTAGAAACAAAACTGAGAAATTGTCATTAATAGAAGTAAATGGGCTTTGAAAATTCCAAAATAGGAGTGCTAGATTTATCTTAATTACTTAGGTAATAAAAACTTAGACTACAATAAATACTGTCATGTTACTCTTATTTCGGGAAAAAAACATAACAATCATATTTTTGAATTGAAAACCTGTTTATTTATAGTTCGGGAACTTTGAGAACAAATTTCATCATTCATCAGTTACAAGGACAGAAAATACACAAAATTTAGATATCAACATGAAAAAAACACATGCAGTGAAGTGAAAGTTTGAAACACGTACCAAATTTTCTTTTCATTTTTAGAAGAAAGGAAGAGATTTGCCAAAAAAACAAGAAAGGAAGAGATTGAACATTGAAGAAGAGAGGGCAGGCCGCAAACCACCTATGGCCTGTTTGTTTGGGGGTTAACCTAGGTTATTGAAGGTTCAATTTCTAGTTAACCCCGGTTGTTTGTATTTCTGCAACAAGAACCTAGGTTATGTGTTAACCTCACTTAACTCCCGAGAACATGAAAAAACTTTAAATTGAAGAACCTCCGAATCGGGGGATTTTGGAGGTTAAGTTCTCGTTTAACATAAAATGAGCTAGAGTACCTTCATCCAAACAACATTTATTACATTAACCTAGGTTCACCTTCTATATTTTCACACTATTTTACGTATGGACCTAGGTTCACTTAGGTTAACCTACTTTTTATTAAAACGTAGGTTTACTTTATTGCACTAGGTTTACTTAACTTCACTTTATCCAAACAGAGCATAGGGTCTTCTCCCATAACCCGTCACAATAATTATTGCATATTATTACTATTTGATTGCTACTATTTTATACTCTCTTCCTCAATTATCTTTCAATTTCTTTTTTGTCCGTTCCAAAATAATACGGAGTATCTTGTATCATTTTTTGGTAAAAAAAATTGTGGTTCATATGCTTTCTTACACATATTTTTTTTGTGCTGTACACAACTCTTCATCACATAATACTCACTATCTTAATCCCTGTACCAAATGTATTTTCAAAATTATTTAGGGACGAATAGAGAATTGTTTTTTGTTTGAATGGGGACATTTTTGAGCTGTACTGAGTCCTCCCGCCATTCAACATACATATAGAATGGCTGCACTTCATGATTTGTGATGGCAATAATCGCATACCCTCAATTAGTACCTTAGTCTAATTTACATCCTCCCATCGTGCCGTCCGGTCGGTGTTGGGGGGCCCTCAGGGATGGGGTGTCATCCTTTTTTAGAAAGCGTAGTAAGGATTAAGAGCCATACGAAGCTAAGGACAAAAATAGAAAAGAACCGTACGAAACTTAGAAGAATTAGAAGACTTCAAGATTTGAAGGACCGAGAATCATAGGTCGTCTGTGCTCGACGCCTCTATGTACTTTGTGCTTAATCGAGTGTCTAAGTCTGCCGAACTTCCATCGGCCGAGTGTTAATTGGAGTAATTGCAGAAGGGACTGAACCGCCTGCATGGGAAGACCTAAAATTGAATATGCCCAGCCCCCGTCGATTCATGTTTCCGCGATCATTGATTTGGGAATTGAATTTACAACTTTGGTTTTAGATTAAGTATCCATATACTCTATATAATACTAATAGGCTTGTATTGAAATTTGGAGCATCAAAAATTTGGAAGCCCTAGACAATTGTCTAGGAAAACTGCCCCATGACCGGCCCTAATATTACATAACATAACATGACATAACATAAACAGGTCATTAAAAATTAGTTTTTTGACATATCACATGAGTAAACTACCGAGGCCGTTATAGCCCAATAAATTACATTCTCTATAATTAGCCTTACTGTATTTTTTTTATTTAACTTAACTAGACGCTTTAATTTTGTGATAAGAGAGTATGGCATTATTAGAAATTAAAATGAGTAACCTTAATTTTATGAGAAATTTTGTTCAAGAAGAATGTTTATAAACTTTCAAGACCATTCTGGTAACTAATAAGCTACCAAATAAGTAAATAATTAATTGAATAATAGGTGGTACACTAAATAGGGACGAAACATTTTCACTTTGCTAAATAAATAAATGATTCAATTCTAAATGCTTTAGCCCCAATTTTTGCTAGATTTTTAAAAAGTACAAAATGTACTAAAGATATGTTGAAAAATGTGATTGGATGATGTAGGTTTTAAAGCATCCATCAAAGCTTTTCTTTTACTGTGAAGTAAAGCTGGAAGTGGAGGGGAGCTGGAAGTGGAGGGGAAACCCAATAGTTCTTAGTCATGTTGTGTATGAGAAGATGAAGAACAAATATCCACAGTTTGTGGAGAGATTAGAGGAGGATGGCTTAATCTACACCCGAGTGTTGGGAGAAGAAGATAACCTATCTGCAATAGGTCAAGGGTGGAGATCCACATTTCTGACTTCCGACAAGAGTGTTGCTGAAGAAAGGTTAGGCATTTAAAAAATGTCTGTATTTTTAGTTTAAAACTTTTTGTGTTAAAATATTATCAAAAAATATTCTTTATATCGACTCAATCCGGTCCAGTGCTCTGGCTCCGCTCCTGCCTAGTATGAGATGTTGCCAACAGACACATTGTGAAACCCAAACATAATATATTTTAATTAATTATAATATATTACATGACAAATATCTGTCAAACTAAATCAGATCGGACCAAAAAATTATAGTCCAATTACCTTACTACGTAGGCGATCTTTCCCAGTATCTTTCCCCGAGGTATGATGAATCAATGAATCGGGGACTTGTCTATCCTCTACGAACCTTCCTTCGCAATAACTTCATAAGGTGTTCTTCATCCAAGACTTATTGTTCTCTATCTAGTCTTAAATCCGAATTGGTGTTACAAATATGTGAAATACTCTTTCTGTCCCCCTAAGATTGAGATATCCTCCATTTCCGGTCTGTCTCACTAAGATTATCACAAACCAGATTTGGAAAAGTTTGTGTGATTTTAAATAATTCTTACTTTATTCTTACTTTATCAATTCAATATCAACTACGTAAACCCACTTTTCTTAATAATCATACTACTTCCTCATGTCCCAATGTCTCCTCTGAGTTGCCCCCTGTTATTCTGATGTGAAAGACAAATTTATTCTTTGTAGATTCAGCGGAGACATTTTTATTCATTCTTCGAAGAAGTGCAATTTAATTTGATGCTAAATTAAATGGATAAAAATATCTATCTGTGGATCTTCTTAAAAACTCAAAGCGTGTATTTTGACTCTATTTTTCATTTGATTATCAAGTATCAACTACTATGTATTGCAATTTGATGCTAAATTAAATGGATAAACTATATGAAGAAGCTACACGACATGAATAAATTAAGATTAATAAGTAATTCCGATTATATCTACACGTGTAATTAAAAACCTTCATTTTCAGAAGTTCAATTTTGACAAACCTTCCTCATAAGTTAAAATATGAGGAATTGCATCTGATTGCATCTACTCCGTATTATTGACTATATTTAATATTCTCTTTGCTTCTGATGTTTTTAATTTCTACGCCGGTCATAATCATAGTATGGCTTGAGAGTTGAGATTCTTTCTTTCAGTGCCATCTTTTAATGGCTAGATATCAGTAATTTTTATTACATCTGCACTTTCAGGTTATGCTTCTGAAGAAGATCGGTAGAAGAAAAGTAATATTAATGGGTAACCTGCCGCTATTCATTAGTGGTATTACGTATGAAAAGTAAATTATATATTTATATTTTTAAGGGAAAATCGCATATATGGTCCTTCAGTTATTCACGTAATTAAAATCTCAGACCTGCATTTCTGAGATTGTAAATGTCACCCCTCAATTGCACAAAATGCTGTAAATGTGGTCCTTTTGAGGGGTGAAATATACAATGTGGGCGAGAGTGCATTTTACTACTTAAAGGAACACATTTACAGCATTTTGGACAATTGAGGGGATACATTTACAATCTCAAAAATACAGGTCTGAGATTTTAATTCTGTGGATAACTGAGGGACCATATATGCGATTTTCTCTTTTTTTTAAACCCACAATTGCATTAGAGAAGAAATATTATTTTATAGAGAAAACTGTCAAGTTTGTCTTCGTACTATAGTAAAAAGTCAATTAGACCCTTCTACAATTTAATCACTCAATCGGACCCCAAACTTTACCCCCAAACTTTAATAAATCGTTCAAACTTCAAAATGTCTTTTTAAGAGGTTATCAATCTGTTTCCCGTTACTTTGCTTGATTGGCTATCCATGTCATCTTTTTTTAATTTTTTTTCCATTATTGATACCTGTAGAAAATACAAAGAAAGTCAACTTGATGAGCTGGATTAATGTTGGTTAGAATAGTCAAATCTGTTTGTAATAATTAGTTTCATTCTGTTAGACAGCTCATGTATAAATATCTTTCATGAACTTTGTAATCGAACCACTCTCTCGAATGAAGACTCTCTTTCTCTTCTCTCAGATTACTCATGTACTCACAAAGCCTCTTTAATGGCAGATATGCTTAGTTTCTTCATGGTATCAGAGCCGGTTTATACTGGATCTTGATTGCCGATTCTTCATCTCTTTATTTTTAGCGATTTCTATTGTCGCTGTTGCTATCTCCCTACGAATTTGATTTTTTGTCAATTCGTATTTCACGATCTGTGTTCTTGTGAATTTGATTTTGTTCGTCAATTCGTATTTCACAATCTGTTTGTTGATCTATATCTTGCTGATGGCGATTGATGGAGAAAGCAGTCAAGATGGAAGAAATTCCAACATTATCAACAACAAGGATCCGCTGTACCTGGGTCCTGGAGATCATCCGAATCTGCAACTAGTTTCTACGCCTTTCAATGGTAAACATTACCTTAACTGGACTAGAGGAGTTAAAATGGCGTTGATATCCAAAAATAAACTTGGTTTTATAAATGGAAAATGTGCCAAGCCATCTGAAAATAATGATAAGTACCAGGATTGGATTAGAGCTGATTATACTGTTATGTGTTGGATCTTACACTCTCTGAATCCTGCAATAACAAACAGCATGATGTATGTCACATCATCTAAACAATTGTGGGAAGAACTAAGTGAAAGATATAATCAGACTAATGCTCCATTCCTATATCAACTACGCAAAGACATGGTTCACATATCACAAGATGGACAACCTGTAGCTGATTACTATGGCAGATTGAGATCAGTTTGGGAAGATTTACAAAGTCTTGATGGTTTACCTGAATGTGACTGTGGTTGTAACACCCCGGCCCGCAGGACCCGAGGTAGTTACTCCGGACCAATAGTACTGTCCTCACAAACCACCACAAGCCTTTACCGCGCACTTTGTCCTCACTCATGCGCGCCCTGAGAAACTTCCCAGGGGGTCACCCATCCCAAGACTGCTCCCGTGCAAGCACGCTTAACTTTGGAGTTCTTGGCGGATGAGCTCCCGTAAAAGGAGATGCACCTCTGTTGGTATGAGTAGTACTATTAATCCGTTTATATTAAATCTCAAGTGTTACAATCACCCCCACTTAGGATCGCAACGTCCTCGTTGCACCCTTAAACCAATCTCAATCCTACCCCAGAATCTTTCCCCTGCTAAGTGTCTGCCCGATATCCAACGGATCAGCACACTGTCGCAGGGTTGCTCTGATACCACCTGTAACACCCCGGCCCGCAGGACCCGAGGTAGTTACTCCGGACCAATAGTACTGTCCTCACAAACCACCACAAGCTTTTACCGCGCACTTTGTCCTCACTCATGCGCGCCCTGAGAAACTTCCCAGGGGGTCACCCATCCCAAGACTGCTCCCGTGCAAGCACGCTTAACTTTGGAGTTCTTGGCGGATGAGCTCCCGTAAAAGGAGATGCACCTCTGTTGGTATGAGTAGTACTATTAATCCGTTTATATTAAATCTCAAGTGTTACAGTGGTGCTTTAAATGCATGCTCCTGTAATCTGCTAAAGAAAATTCTTGACAGGGAGAATAGGAACAGGTTGTTAGATTTCTTGATGGGACTCGATGACAAGTATGAAGTCATAAGAGGTCAAATACTGGGTATAGATCCATTACCTACTGTGAATCAAGCGTATTTCAGTGTCCAACAAGTTGAAATGCAGAAGAACATTAGTTCTGGCATTTTTGTTGATCAAGATGCTACTGCTATGGCAGTTCAGAAACCAACAGATGGATATGTGACTGGAGGAAAAGGAAATATTTCAAGCTCCAATTTGAGTTGGGATCACAATGCAAAGATGAATGACTACAAGAAAACAAAAAAATTCTGTGACTATTGTCACAAGACCAATCATACTAGGGAATTTTGCTGGAAGCTAAAGAAGAGTAGAAACACATATGTCAGGGGACAAGAAAATAATAAGTTTGCTGCAAATGTTGAAGAGGTTCATGAAGTTGCTGATGAAACACCTTTGGAAACTGGCAGCAAGGCTATGGATCCTGGAATGATACAAGTTGTGGTGCAAGAAGTCATGAAGGCAATGACTGGAAAGAATCCATCTCAACAATATGGTATGACAACAAATCCATCAATGAAATTTTCAGGTATGGCTCATGCTTTGCATACTAAGACTGTCACAACAAATTCAAAAGTTTGCACCTGGATTGTTGATACAGGAGCATCTGATCATATGACCTTTGATTCTAGTATTTTTTCCATTACTAAGAATCTTGAGAAACCTATTAAGGTAGGTCTGCCAGATGGTAGTATTAAGTCAGTTATAATGATTGGAGATGTTAACTTGACTGATGAAATTATATTGAAAGATGTTTTGTTCTTACCTGGCTTCCAACACAATTTATTATCTGTTGAAAAACTTTTGGATGACACTGAATATAGTGTTATTTTTGACAAGCATAACTGTGTTCTTCAGGACCCTATCAGTAAGAAAGCAACACAATTGGGAGGAAGAAGAAATGGAGTATATGAGATTTGCTTCGGAAGGAATAGTAGTAAAATGTCATTGAACAATTATAGTTCATGTCATACTGCTTTGGTTGCTTATAATAAAGCTGATGTACACTTGTTTCATGCTAGATTAGGACATAGTTCTCTGTCTAAGCTGAAATATGTACAAAACAATAATGATTTCAATAAAGTTTCTGATTTGGAATGTGAAGCTTGTATTTTAGCTTTTGTTGTTAGCAAATCTCTTGCAGAAAAACCTTTTGAACTTGTTCACATTGATCTTTGGGGACCATATAGGTTCAAATCTGTCACTGGAGCATCTTATTTTTTAACCATTTTAGATGATCACTCAAGAGTTACTTGGACAACATTGTTGAAGGACAAAACAATGGTTTATCCTACTTTGGCTAATTTTTTTACTTATGTTGAAACTCATTTCAATACAAAAGTAAAAAATATCAGAAGTGACAATGGAACAGAAATTGTTCAAAAGGAATGTGGAAGATTGTTTGCTGAAAAAGGAATCTTACATCAAAGAAGTATAGCAGGAAATCCACAACAAAATGGTAGAGTTGAACGCAAACACAGGAACTTGTTAGAGACTGCTAGAGCTCTTAGAATACATGCTGGTTTGCCTAAAAAGTTCTGGGGAGAATTGATCCTTTCTGCTACACATTTGATTAATTTGATGCCTTCATCAGTTTTAAACTTCAAGGTTCCTACTGAAATCTTATTTGGAAAATGTCCTGACTACTCTTACTTGAGAGTAATTGGATGTTTGTGTTATGCTGCTCACAAGATGGCTGATAAATTTGAGCCAAGAAGCTTAAGATGTATTCTGTTGGGATATCCTTATGGTCAAAAAGGTTATAAGTTGTATGACCTTGATAATCACAGAATATTCAGTAGCAGAGATGTTATTTTTAAGGAGCAAATGTTTCCTTTTAAACAAAATTTGCAACTTCAAAATTCTGAAGCATACACACCCTGGGCTTCATTACAAGATTCTGATATGGATTACACACATACTGATACTGATCCAAAACAGAATGTTCAAGTTCAGAATGACTCAAATTCGACTGACAGTATGATTTGGGATTCTCATCAAGGTGATGCATCTCAAGAAGATGTCCACACCATTTCTCAAAATAGGATGATTGAGGTGAATAGACCTAAGAGAGTTAGACAACAATCTGTTAAGCTTCAGAATTATATATGCAAAGGATTACCTCCATCTCTGGTTGTTCCATCTTCAACAAATTCAGAATATATTGGATCTTCAGGATCTTTTGAGAAAGCTTTCTCTGCTCTTTATGCTAATCACCTTGAGAATTTAAGTGATGAGTATATCAGTTCACTGAATAATGTCTTACAAATTTATGAACCTACAAGTTATCATCAAGCAAAAAATGATGATAGATGGGTTAAAGCCATGGATATGGAAATTGAAGCGTTGGAGAAAAATAACACCTGGAATCTGGTACAATTACCTCCAGGAAAGAAAACAATTGGAAGCAAGTGGGTTTTTAAAATCAAATTCAGGCCAGATGGAAATATTGAGAGATTTAAAGCCAGGTTAGTGGCAAAAGGCTTTAATCAAATCAAAGGAAAGGACTACAAGCATACATTTAGTCCTGTGGCCAAGTTCATTAGTGTCAGAACACTCATTGCCATAGCAGCAAAGTATGACATGAAATTACATCAATTGGACATTAATAATGCATTTTTACATGGATTTCTTGATGAAGAAGTCTACATGGATGTCCCAGAAGGATATAAAGGAGCAAAACCTGGTGAAGTATGCCTATTAAAAAGGTCCCTTTATGGACTTAAACAGGCATCAAGACAATGGAATATTGAACTTTCAAAGTTCCTAAGAAAACATGGATATTGTCAATCCAAGAATGATTATTCCTTGTTTACTAAAGCTGATGACAATGGATCATTTGTAGCCATTTTGGTCTACGTAGATGACTTAATGATCACTGGAAATAATGAAGAAGAAATCAGCAAAATCAAGAAGTTGCTAGATGAAGCATTCACCATAAAAGATTTAGGTGAATTAAGATACTTCCTCGGTATTGAAGTAGCAAGATCAAAGGAAGGAATCATTTTAAACCAAAGGAAATACATTCTTGATATTCTTAAGGATACTCATATGGAAGAATGTAAACCTGCAAATTTTCCTCTTCCTACAGGACTCAGATTATCTACAGAAGAAGGGGAGATAATGTCAGATCCTGAAGTATACAGAAGATTGATTGGAAGATTACTTTATCTCAACCTCACAAGACCTGATATATCATACTCTGTACAACAACTTAGTCAATTTCTCAGTGTACCTCGGATTACACATTTAAATGCAGCACTACATTTGGTGAGATATTTGAAAGGAAGTTTCAACTTAGGATTGTTTTATTCAGCAGATCCTAATACTAACCTCACATGCTATTGTGATGCTGATTGGGGTACATGTCCTTTCACAGCTAGATCATTATCTGGTTATTGTATTTTCTTGGGAAATTCCTTAATTTCCTGGAAAACAAAGAAGCAGAAAACAGTTAGCAAATCTACTGCAGAAGCTGAATATAGAAGTATGAGTTTTGCAGCATCTGAAATTGTTTGGATAGAAAGGCTTCTTAAGGATTTTGGAACTCAAGTATCTTGGCCAGTCACATTATACTGTGATAATAAAGCAGCACAACAGATAGCTCAAAATCCTGTACTACATGAAAGAACAAAACATCTACGGATTGATTGTCATTATGTAAGGGAATGCATTCATGAAGGGCTCATAAAGACAGAACATGTACCAAGCAGTTATCAAATAGCAGATGTTATGACCAAAGCATTAAGTGAGAAACAACATTTGCAGTTTGTGGTCAAGCTGGGACTTGTGAATAAACTACCAAGTCCAGCTTGAGGGGGGACTGTAGAAAATACAAAGAAAGTCAACTTGATGAGCTGGATTAATGTTGGTTAGAATAGTCAAATCTGTTTGTAATAATTAGTTTCATTCTGTTAGACAGCTCATGTATAAATATCTTTCATGAACTTTGTAATCGAACCACTCTCTCGAATGAAGACTCTCTTTCTCTTCTCTCAGATTACTCATGTACTCACAAAGCCTCTTTAATGGCAAATATGCTTAGTTTGATAGTTTACACATTAAAACTTCACATGCAAAATGATTGCATGTAAAGTTTAGGACTGTAAAATAGTTTGCATGTAAAATAGAAATACGTGGTTTGGTTATGTGTGTAAATGTGTAATTGCTTTTTAAATTACACCGTCGGTTTGATGTGGTGCAGGCCGATGCAGTCTTCAATTATTGAGACTGATTCAGCCCTCACGTTTGATATAAGCCATTTCATCCAAATCTATTAACCAAAGTAGAACAAATATGCTGAATCATGCTTCAAAATTGCAGCACACCAACCTACTTTTTCAAATAAAAAACTCACTCACTAATAATTTATATATATACGTGTGTATATATATAGTTAAGCACAAAAATGGTCATCTCTTTCAAAATCGACTTTCACAAATTCATTTCTTAGAAGGATAATAACTACACCAATTAGTTACTTCATGGAAATTGCAGTTCAATGGAGCGCATATTAAGAAGACAATTGAGCTCTTCATTATTTTACACGAGACTCGAGAGCAAAATCTTCATTATTGCGGCCAGGCTATTTTGTTTTGCTGTATTCAACCGTGTAAAGTAGTTTACTACTCTTCCCCCACGTAAAATATTTTACCCGGTACCGTGTGAAATGTTTTAAAAAAGTGCCCTACAGTTTACATCAAATAATTAAAACAAACGGTGTAAAATGTTTACTTTCCCACACTTCGCATGCAAAGTGTTTACTTTACATCATACCAAACGGGCCCTAAAGATGCTCTAAAAGGGGTTATAGGTTTGATTTGGATATCCTAAATTAACAAGATTAAAGTATTAAAAATATGGAAAGATATAAATCAGGAAAAAATATGAAACAAAACAAATTTGTGTGCTCAAAATACGGTACGTAATTGTGTGTGCTTCTACATGCTCTCCATTTGATTTTGAGTTGTCAATAATCAATAACTACAACTCACAACAGTGTGTATGTAAGTTTGTATATATATATATATATATATATATATATATATATATATATATATATGTAGGAGTGCATTCATACATGCCTGGAGATTGTTTACACTATGCAATGTTTCATAGGGCTGTGGAGTTGGGAATAAAGCTGGAGTGGCTTGAGGATGGAGTGAAAACAGTTATGGGTCCAAGACCTGCTATTGTGTTGGATAAAACTAGGCAAAGAAAAACATGGTTTAATAGCATGGTGGGTGTTTATACCTGCTGGCAAGATGCACGGAATGATTCGAAGAAGGCGGTGATTTTCGGGGATGGAAACCCCTTGCCTGCCGAAACCATACACGATTGCCTCAAAATAATGGAAGCAGAAAGTGTTGCGATGCCATGGAAGAAAGGTGATATTTTGCTCATTGACAATACGACTGTTCTTCACTCTCGAAGGTCGTTTGATCCTCCTCGTCGCATTCTGGCCTCACTGTGCGAGTGAGGAAAGTATTATTGCAGGGAGTCATGAGACCTTAATGGAATAATTTGTCAATGTCACATGGGATGATTACTAATGTGAAAATTCAAATGTTATGCTCGTATAGATATAATTATTTTCTCTAGCTCGTGCATATTATAACATCTCAGTCATCTCTTGAGTTGTTTCTCTATGCCATTCAAAAGAAGGCTGAAAACATAACAGTTCAAGTGATGAACTAATTAAAACTTTTCCAGAAGGCTATAAGAAGTAACCAACAAGTCATTCACTAGAGTACTTTTTAGAATCTCTTCCTCACAAGTAGAAAAACCAATGCTTCATTATGAGTGGAGAATTCAACACACAAGTCTAAGCATATCAAATAATCATATAACTACAATAATGCACTGCACGATCCAGATAAACTCTCAAATAAACGTTGTCTAATAGTTAAGGAACCTAAGAACTTGAGCAGATTTTTGCAACAAGAAATTTCGAGAAAAAATATCACAACATAAATAATAAAAAATTAAAGAATGAGTGTTTCCATCATGGGTGCTTCTGAGATCAGAGTACACGATTTTCTGTATCGGGTGTTTGGTGGGTATCGAGGATCAGGTTACATAGAGGGAGTTCCAAGCTCAATCTTGTAAATAAATACATTCAGATTTAATCTTAAAAAGATTGTTTGAAATGAATCAATTAATTTTAAGTTCAAACTGGGAAGGAAGTGTAATTGACCTTGATTGATTTCCAATAATTATTGCAGGCATATATATTGGATCTCTCTATACACGGTATCCATTTTCCTCACACAAATTTGTTATGCAAGGCACACATGTTTTCTAACTTTGTTTTTCTTCTTTATTTCACTTTTCGCCTACGCTTTTTAATCCCGTATTGTCGTATGCAATGTAAGGTCTATTGTTCAAAACTCTCCAATCTAGAAATTCATCTCTATTTGATACCACCTCATATTTCATAACATTTCTCTACGAAATCAATATATTAATCTTCTCTAAATGCTCATATACAGATATACTAATAAGCTAGACCTCCTAAAATAAACCTTCCAATTGGGTATGCTCTTATCAGTTAACTTCTTTGACAAAACATGCTACGTAGTATGTTCTAGACATCCATCATAATTCTTTCTAGCTGGAAATCCTGGAATATCTTGCTGTTAATATGTTTATAACAGAAAACACCAAATTTATAACTCTTCTTGGTGGAACTTTTGGGTGTTATATGTTTATAACTGAAAACCTAGCTCAATCATCCATCAAATAAAACACTTCAAGAACCAGACAAGCTTGCAGACAAAACAAAACTGTTAATAGACAACAGCAACAACATGAAGCATTTTCATTATCTGATTGTCATGATTGCTTATACACTCTTTAGCTTACATGGTGCGTTTTGTTCAAGTATCTATCCAACACAAAAAAGTATAAAAGATATCGAATTAAAATATAAATTTATGAGATATTCCTCCTCACACGTTAACCTTTTAGATGAAACCTCAAGTCGTTGAATTGATTTTAATCTCAGCCTCTCAGGCCACACGCCAGACCAAGCCAGAAGACTTGATGTGCAAGTTTGTTCTGGTCAACCGTCCATCTTGGAACCGGACTGAAGGTGCGTGTGCACCACTAAACTCATGTATATATGAATGATGAAATCGCCGCACTCCTCAATCAGCCACGCACCAGGCTACTACACCCGGCTGTTTTCGTGATCCCCTCGTCCCTCATTCTTCTTCTTATCCAGCGCAGACTTTCCCATTTCTCGCAGGCTGCATATACGTCGCACAGCAGAATATATACAGATCCTTTTTCTGCTCCTATCTCAAGAAGTTGCCCAGCTGCCATTTCTGCCATTTCTGCATCCTTGTGAACCCTGCAAGTAGCTAATGGTCTGTCTAAAAGAACCTAACTGTTTGTAAACTTTTCTTGTGTAGTCCATATTCTTTTATTTTCTTCAAAAGTCAGATGCAGATGTATTGATAAGCATTTTTTAGTACTCCCTATTTTATTTTAGTCCATCAAATGTTTTTTTCAACTAATCTGTCATATAACTTATATAGTTGTTCTTACCTAGTTTCTTCATTCCGGGTGTCCTAACTAGAACTACAAATAAATCAAGCTTCTAGTGACCCATTCGGTTATCAATTCAATTAAAAGAACTCTTTAAAATAAACAAACCAAACTCAAGTTTGATAGTATTTGGCTTGTTAGCTTGCGAGCTAGCTTGTAAAATATAAAATTATGAGTAGTTCTGCATTTTAGTTCATTTCAATATCTTTTCTTACTTTTAGCATATAATTATCTCATGTTCGAAAGAACGTAAAAGCTTTAGTATACATGGTAATACTTATTTCAAAATATTAACTAATATTTGAACCAATAAATAGGAGTATGCTAATATTGGAGTATGACTTTTCAATTTCATCAGGCTCATCTCAGCCCTACCTGCAAGCAGCAAGGAGAGCTCCCCATACTACTGGATTCGGATTCAAAGGCATGCACTTTATAACCTTAAGAGCTTCAGTCAACTGCCCAGCCCGTCCGAGAAGATCAACCAAGCAGCCATAGTGTGTGATATTAGGCTCAATTCCAAACAGTGATTTCATTTTGTTGAAGAAATTCCTTCCTTCCTCCACCATACCGGTATGAGCGCAAGCGGAAAGGACGCCGACAAAGGTGACATCATCAGGTTTTTCTGATGATTTCAGCATTTGGGAGAAGATGTCTAGAGCTTCTAGTCCATGTCCGTTGACAGCAAGGCCAACAATCATGGCCGTCCAAGTGAACTTGTCCCTTCTGGACAAACGATTAAACATATCAACTCCCTTTTCCACGTCACCACATTTGAAATACATGTCTATCAAAGCGTTGCCAATATGAAGATCAAATTTTATCGTGTTCTTGTCGAGGTGGTTCCTCACCCATTCTCCAAGCTCAAGTGCCCCGACATGGGAGCATGCAGTGATAACGCTAACTATGGTGAACTCATCCGGTTTCAAATTTTCTGTTTGCATTCCACGTAAGAGGATCAAAACATCCTTAAATCGGTTTTCTTTGATGTAGCCGTCGATCATTGCTGTCCATGAAACAGAGTCCCTCTCTGGCATCTTGTCAAAATACTTTCTTGCTAAATCCATATCTCCAGAACTGATGAAACCTGTGACGATTGTGGTCCATGATATAACATCTCTTTGCTTCATTGTGAGAAATATCTTGATAGCAGAATCTATCTCTCCACAACATGCATACATATTCATCAAAGCATTATCAAGAATTAAATTAGATTCAACCTTAAGGTCTTTTACATACTGGTGTACACGTTTTCCAGAGTCTAAATCGTTCAGCTTGGAAAAAGCAGATAGGGATGAAACCAAAGTAACTGCAGTGGGCATTATTCCTTTCTCATCCATTTCATAAAAGAGTCTCCTTGATTCCTTAAACATTTTGTATTTATTGAGCCCAGAGACCATGACATTCCAAATCATCACATTGGTGTTGGCACCATGATCAAATAAGCTACGAGCCATATGAACATTCCCCCACATGAAATAAATGTGTATCAAAGAATGATTGACAAATTCATTGGAGTTGAACCCAAATTTACACACGTGAGAATGCAATCCTTTCCCCAACGTCATTGGAATTTTACGTGTAAACCCCTTAAGCAAGAAGGGGTACGTGTAGTCATCCGGTTTCACATTGTTCCTCAACATCTCCAAATACAAAGAAACCGCGTTTCTAGGACTCCCTGCTTCTGAAAAACTCTTGATCATCGTATTCCAAACAGCTACGTTTGGTTCAGGAATTTTTTCAAACAAGTAAGAGGCATGCTTCATGTCCCCACCGCAATCACTGATGCCGCGAAAATGTATGATCTCGGAACAGACCAAGGAGTTACTGTATTACTGCAAAGGCACTCACGGAGAAGTGCGGTAAATTGTTGGATGGTCCATGAATTTGCAACTGTGAAAGAGAGAATGGGAAGCTCAGCTAGTTCAGGTACACATGAGAAATGAAGCTGGGTGGTGGAATGAGAAGAATGTAGAGAAGCGGTCTCTCTATCAGTCTATCTCTTTCAAACAGACAAACACACACATAAAGAGAAATTTGGAGACTTGCATAATGCATGTGTATGAAAAAACTAGCTACTCCGTATTATTCTCTGGTCAATAATATTCTTTTTTGCTAGAACATTTTTTTTGTAAATAACTTGGACTCTAATTTGCCCCAGACCAGACCAGACCAGACCAGACCAGACTTGGATAGTTATAAAAATACAAAGAAACCAGACCAGACCAGACCAGCAAATTACAGTCTAAGTAAAAACATCCTTATTGTTATGACTTATGAGGGTATTAATTTTATCGGCTAGGACGCTGCGTTAGCTTGATGAAGTATACGTGTGAGGGTTGGTGCTGTGCTCAATAGAATTAGGATTTAAGAATTGTACGGAGTATTAAGAGAAATTATATTAAGAGGAATTCTTTGGAATGGGGATGGTGGTATAGTATCTTGTATCTATGTGAAGAAATGGATTGGATCCATTTTTAGAGGAAGAAATATTTTAAAACAGATAAAATAAAATGTAAGAGTGAAACAAGTGGTAAAATTTGAAGGGACCAAACATATCCAATATTGATTTCTATTTATAGAGGAAAAAATCGATTTTTTGGTATAATTTTTTTAACAATAAATTAAATTTATTACCTAACAAATTAAATAAAGTTGTTGGGGGTAGTTGGTGACTACAAAAAATTGGCAGATCCCATTTTCAATCGACCAAATTAATTGGTCACTTTGTGATCTTTCATAGTGGGGGTCAACCCCCACCATTTTTTTTATATCTAACTTGACCTTTCATAGTGGATGACCTTACTTACTTGGTCGGTCGGTTTATGACCGATGTGTAATATCTAAAACCGACCACTGAACCGTTTGAACATATGTCGATTCGGTTCACCGACAGACTTTGTTGGTTTTTATTTTGGTCTAATGTACTTGATTTTATCGATTCGGTTTCGGTCGGTTTCGATTTTTGGGCGTTTTTTTGTTCATCCCTATAAGGATTCAGGGTTGGTTTGCAACTACTTTTAAAAAAGCACTTCTCAGCTTTTAGCTTTAAAAAAGCACTTATTTTCCCAAATACTACAACTTTTATTTTTCTCGGCTTCCGCGTCAAAAGTGCTTTTACTTTTTCTATTACACAAAAAACACTTATTTTACCAAACACTACCCACTTTTACTTTTCAAAATCACTTTTTTCTCAAACACTATCAACTTTTATTTAATCACTTCTCCACATTTCATTAAAAAATCACTTTTTTCACAAACTTCTCAATTTGAGAATTTGAGATTAGATAATTGTTTCAACCAATTTCTCCTAAACACAGCGAGGAAAGGTGTTGGTTGGCCTTTAAAAAACGGTAGAAGAAATTACAAATCAATTTATTGGAGGATAAAGTTAAGTTCTAAAAACATGCACTAAAAACTATTGACTTGCTTACAACATTGTAAACAGTACAGGCAAAACAAAATTATTTTCTAATTGACAAGCAAAGGACTACAACTTGTTATGACATAATGAATTCCATGGGAGTTCTTTATGGCTTCGATGTATACGGTTAGGATATTAACTTTATTTACGAAATAAATAAAAATCTTAAATGTGAGCACTGCCTATGTGACTGTAATCCTGTATGCTTATTTAAAATGGCAATGTTGTAATTCAATACCATTGTGTATACAAAAGATACTGAATGCTCGCACTACTAAAATAACTTCACAGACTACTAAATGTATGTTTTTACTGTGCAAAGGTACTCAGTTGCCATAGAAAATTGGCAAAACAATTAGTTGTCATATTCAGTCTACAACAATATTATATTTTTAGCTTCCAAATTGAATTTCTTTGAAAACCCAAACATCATGATTAAGTGTAAGTGCAACTGCCTGAACTCTAAAAAATGTATACTACTATTAAGAAATAAAACCACACTGTTACATCATACATCTTCTTGTTGAGTTTATTCCAACATAAAAATAGTACTCCCTCCGTCCTATTTAAAGGTTCTCGTCCACTATTCACATGGTCAACTTAAATCATTCTTAATCTTTTGCTTTATACATCAAATTTTTATCAAACTTACATTTTTTATCAGGCTTTGTAGCGGTTTTAATGTAGTTTCTGGATATGTAAATTTTATTCACTAAAAATAATCAGAGTGTGAACAGGGATTAAGTTGCTTTATTGTCAGTCAAGCATCGTAAACCGCAATTGGAACCTCCTAATGGGACGGAGGGAGTAATATAAATATGAATATGTAACGAATGCTCGGTTTTTACGTGGAAATCCGAAAGGGAGAAAACCACAGGACTTTTTAGCCTAACGTCCAAGCCCTCTCTTTCTCATTAGACTCTCCTCACCAATACATAGTACATCTTTTGGAGCTCCATTAATGGAGGTTTGAACTATTCTAGCTAACTATTCTCTAGAGTGAAGAAGATGCAGGAGAGAGCCAAAAAAGAGGATCCCCTCAACTGGAAGCCAAACTTCCTATTTATAGATGGGGGCTGGGGAAGCCCTTCTATGCTAATGGGCCGAAAAAGGCCTTAATGGGCCTAATTCCTATCCTAGCGGTCCGACTGGGCCGAAATGGGCCGGGTAGGCCTAAATGAGACTCGCCGACTGGGCTCCGTGCCGGGGGTGGTGCTTTGGGCTCTTGAACAGTAACATGCCGGTGTAATATACCCCGACACAAGCCCCCCACGTTCTTGAGTAGTGAGCATGCGAATTTACTCGAGAAAGTATACTCTCGCTCACGTTCTTCCTTGCCTTCCCTGAATTGGTGTCTTCGAGTAATCTTGCGCGCAAGGCATGCATAACTGATATGTGAGGTGCATTTCCCGTACTGGATACGACGGCGCTGAAAGGCCGATTGTGCTGCATAAAGCGGCGGTCCCCATCCTGACTAGCATGACGGACCCAATGGAGAACTAGACACAACGGCACTGAGGAGCCGGTCGTGCTGCATAAGACGGCGATCGCCATATTAGGGATCGACGAGCTCGACCGAGAAGTAGGCACGATGGCGCTGAGGAGCCACTCGTGCTGCATAGTACGGCGGTCGCCATCCCAAATTAGGAATATACGAGCCCGGCCGAGAGTAGGCACGACGGCGCTAAGGAGCCGTTCGTACTGCATAATGCGGCGGTCGTCATCCCAGATTAGGATTGACGAGCCCGACCAAGAACTTGGCACGACAGCGCTGATGAGCCGCTCGTGCTGCATAATGCGGCGGTCTCCATCCCAGATTAGGGATTGATGAGCTCGACCAAGAACTAGGCACGACGGCGCTAATGAGTCGCTCGTGCTGCATAATGCGGCAGTCGCCATTCCAGATTAGGGATTGGCAAGCCCGACCGTGAGTAGGCACGACGGTGCTGAAGAGCCGATCGTGCTGCATAAAACGACGGTCGCCATCCCCGGTCGTATCAAACTAAGCAAAATAAGGCCGATATTGCTTGGGCCTTTCAAATTTCGTGTAAAACTAAAGCCGTACACGGCCCAAATTGATCAGGACACTTCCTCCGTCCCTGAAACAACTTCCCACTTTCCTTATTTGGATGTCCCTAATTTAACTTCTCATTTCCTTAAATGACAAGTTGTCTACATCAAAACAGTACCAAACAGTGTCAAACAGTGTCGAAACAATAAAATTTACCCTTTGGGAAGTTTATTTCCTTAATATGTGTGTAAGTCAAACCGGTAAGTTGTTTCGTGGACGGAGGTAGTACTAATCAATTGTTACTTACTAAACGTGAACAAGTAACTAGCATTATACGAAGTATAACCGAAGGGAGAGGGGAATTCGCCTTGTGGTTCCGTACTTCCGCCGTTCCGGTGTGGGGATGTTGCATACTTGCATTTGACAAAAGAGAAGAACTTCATTCAAGGATTCTAAGCTGGGAAATGAAAGTGCGTACAGCCACCTGACTAGTTACCATTTCCTTTTAGCAACTCACCAATACCAACCTTTTTTATTAATAGGGATATTAAATATTAACGCACTTACGTGGCAAAATATATGGTACAGCCGGTTGTACCATGTTCTAGGTACAGCCGACATTTTTGTAAATTATTTCAACTTCCAGGTCATTAGTTAGTTAATTGTTCTGTACCATCCCCATTTTTTTCCGCCGCACGTATGCAGTCCCCGTCGTTCTCCCTGCGCTCAATCTTTCCAATTGTTCGTTTTTGTTTTCTTTTTATTCTTTTTCTTCTAATTTGTTATGTTCTCCTTCTCTTTTTATGGTTTGTTCTCGTTTCTTTTTTTTTTTTTTTTTTCTTTAACAACCTTTCAATCTAATTTTATATTCAATTACTATGAAAATTTATAATATAAAAATTATATAAAATATTATCAAATATCCCAGTTTATTTTTTATATTATCCAATCAAACTTCTAACTTAAGTTATTTTTATTTTATGTATTATAAAATATTTTAGGTATTAATTTTTTATTTAAGATGAACATTAATTAGTCTATTAAATATTGTGTGTTAATTACCAACATGAGTTTTGTTTTATACTAAAATATGTATGGTGTAAAGTAAATATGCACGAGTAAACATTATAAAGAATCCAATTATATTTATAATTCGAGAATGAAAGTCTATAAATATGCACAAATGAACATATTTGAACACATTAGAGAATTCAACGATCCTTCGAATTTTTCAATACTCATTTTGTAAGTTACTTATACTCATCTAGTACTGGATTATGCTCATTTTAAAATGTCATTTTAATACATATTTCAAAACTATCATATAGATTCACATAAGAGTTAGATTATATACATGGATTATAAATCATGATACTCAATTGTATGCTTATGATAATCAATATAGGAGGTTTGATATTCAATGAATGTTTTGATGCTCAACTAACAAAGCTTATCATTTTCATATCATTGTTCATTTGGTAAATTATGTAAGCTCATGTGGTACTGATGTTATGCTCATTTTAAAAGGTTGTTAAAGTATGTAAGCTCCCTGTGGTACTGATGTTGGACCACCTGATATTCCCGAGACCACGTATTTTATTCATCTTGGTATAGATAATAGTTATATGGTGGTGGACATTCATGTTGGGCCATAAGAAAGGCATTGGGTTGACCGATTGGTCAAACAGGGCCCAATTACCGGTCTTGGTAATTTATGAGAGAACAGTCCGAAATGGATTTCGGAGACTTCTAAATTAAAGTTGGGGAATGTATAATCATTCTAAAGGCCCATTATGATGGGAATTAAGTGTTATATTTTATTTGACCCGATAAATTAAAATATAATTAAAGCAGTCCGAGAAATACAACTTTCGGGACCGATTGTACACTTCGTGACTTAAAGGGGTGACCTCCCACATGTGTGGGGGCCAACCCACGACTTTAGTCACAAGAGCCATGTGTTTGGGCGGCTGAAATAGAGGAGGAAGATGGGAGATGTTTGGGGTTGAAAGAAAAGGCATCTAAGGACATGAGGTGGACCTCCCATCCACACTCATTGGTCCAAAGAGACAAAAAGACCATCCATACTCTCCTCTCCCTCTCATTTTCGACCAAGCACTTTCAAGACAAGGGAATAGGCTCTGCAAACTCCCATCTCCATAGCAAAGAGAGCTCGAAAAAGCAAGGAGCTCAAGGAAGAAGAAGTTGCAAAAATAGTGAAAAACCTTGGGAATAAAGGTGAGAAGCTCTTTAACAACTTTTCTTACATCTTTTGATTTTCATATGACTTGTATATCATATGAAGTACCATTAAGATTGTTCTACATGTTAAAAAGTGTGGACTAAGGGGTTGAAAGTAGTTCTAAGTCCAAGAACGGACTTAGAAGCCAAAGGGTCTGGTTCACTGGAAAATAACCTTTTAGAGGTTATTTGTATTGATATGGAGTTTGTGATGATAAAACCTTGTTAGGCACTTGTCAAAGGTGATTTAAGAGCTTTCACAAAGTTGAAAGAGTCACCAGAATTATCGCCGGAGCTCGTCAAAGTTCGCCGGAGTTTTGCCGGAGTTCAACCGAGGAGGGTAGAACTTCATAACGCTCATTCAAGGTGAGTGGACGACTTAATGACTTATAAGTCTTGGGTTAATTATGAGATTACCTAAGTAAATGTTATATGTGTCCATAATGATGTTTAAAAGATGCCTAAACATGTGATTAGCAAAAATGATTAGGCTTATATGAATGATCCATTGATATCATAAATGAAGTGTGATATGAAAATGTTTATAAAGACATATATGATGTTTTAAAGGATAAAGAGGGCATAAAATTCTTGGTTATAACTTAATACATGTTGGAATTAAGTTTGACACAAATCGGGCTTGAAATGGCGAGTCAACGAAAATGTTGACTAGGTTGCCCAGGGGGTAACCAGCGCCGGTTATAGGCAAAACCGGCGCCGGTTATGGCTCGGCATGGCTGGTTAATTAATTTAATTAATAACCGGCGCCGGTTTGGTGCTGTTTTGCCTTTTTTTGGGGTGCTGTTTTACCTATATGTTGACTTTTAATGCATGAATTGCAGGGATGATTATGCTTAGGCCTTGAGACTTGGTTTAGTCTTGATTATTGATTATGATATAGACCTTATCTAGGATGATATGTGGTAGATCATAAGTCGGGTGGAGTACCCAGGGATCGGGCGGTTATCCTCAAAACTCAGTTATAGGGTGGAGTACCCAGGGATCGGGCGGTTATCCTCAAAACTCGGTTATAGGGTGGAGTACCCAGGGATCGGGCGGTTATTCTCAAAACTCGGTTATAGGGGAGAGTACCCAAGGATCGGGCGGTTATCCTCAAAACTCAGTTATAGGGTGGAGTACCCAATGATCGGGCGTGTATCCTCAAAACTCATAGATCACTATTTTGTAATTCAGGACCGGGCGGTGTCCTCATGTTAAGATGATTTGAACCAGGAGGAGTTCTTTACACTCATAGGTATATGGGTGGGTTGGGGTTTAGGTCAAGGATATTGACCATACTATTTTCCCAAATAAACAATGACCTACGGGCCGGGTATTTCCAAGTGTATAGATATATTGATATGTATTTCGTAACTTGGGGGAAGGAACTATATGTATATGTATCACCCTATGTTTGGGTCTTATATTTGAATTGTTAGTTATTCTACATTTAGCCTGCTACTCGCTCGGTACTTGTACTGACCCCTTCGGGGGGGCCACCATTTCAGGTTGAAGCTCAAGCTTGCTATTCTCACCTTGCTCGGTGAAGTGATCTAAAGGAAGACGTGGTCCGTGCTTCTTTTACTATTTAAAACTATAAACTATGTTCATGGATACTTTGAAATAAATACATTTGTTTTGGGCCTGCGAGCCCACGTTTTGGCCATGTGTGGCCCATGATTGAATATTGAATATTTCCGTTATTCATTCAATCCAAATATGTGATGTTGTTATGTATGTTTACTTACTGAGTATGGTATGGACTATGTTCATGGACGCCTTGTATGATTAAGTCACGTTGACTTGCGAGTGACGTCATTTAGTCATACGGCGGTTGTACACGCGCTTAGATGCGGTCTGGGGCGTGACACATTGGACTATTGCTCATTAATAGTACACTAATGCTCATTTAGTAGAAACGCCACCGAATTATTTTGTTAATTTACCCTTGGGCCTGTTACTGGGCCGGCTGTACGGTGCTCACCGTACAACCGGATGTACCATATACGTACTCCACTTACGCACCTATAGGGCTATAGAACTAGATTGTTTTAAAGACCTATAGAACTTGATTTAGGAAACACATAGAGGCCGTTTGGCAACACAGTTTTTCGGCTTATCAGGCTTATCAGCCAGCTTTTTCACCAAACACGTAACTTTTGCTTTCGCGTGCAGAATTGTGTAATAAGCAGAAAAAGTAAGTTTGGAGTTACTTTTCTGGCTGTATTGGCTGAAGTTATTGTAGATGATCATTTTAGCTATTTTTACATATAATTTTTTCTTTATTTTATTAATAAAATATATTTTAAAAGTATTTTTTCTTGAATCAGCAGAATCAGCCAATGCAGTCAATTCAGCCAGAACTTCATAAATTTCAGCAGAATCAACCAAATCAGCCGATTTTCATGCTACCAAACAGGCTCATAATTATGCTATTTTAACTGATATTTATACGAAGTACGTAAAGTAGCGGATCTACCAATTTTGTTTTGGGTGTTCAGAATTAGCTAACAATTGATGGAGAAGGAGGTGGTTTCTCCATTTTGCTAAAAGTGCATGTTGATTATGCATTGTTTTCATTTTTTGGGTGTTCAACTGAACACTTTTGAACAGTATGAGATCCGCCCATAAGTACGTAGTATAATTTTTCCATTCTAAATCTTGATTATAACATTGTATTTATTTGCTAAGTGATTTTATTCTTTGGTTACATAACATTAATTATTTTGTGCACTTTAATTAAGGCATCATTGTAAGACTTACATATAGAGCTTGTTTGGTAGCACGAAAATCGGCTGTTTTGGCTGATTCTGCTAAAATTTATGAAGTTCTGGCTGAAGTGGCTGCATTGGCTGATCCTGCTGATTTAAGGAAAAATTATCTTTAAAATATATTTTATTAATAAAATAAAGAAAAATTTATATGTAAAAATAGCTAAAATGGTCATCTACAGTAACTTCAGCCAATACAGCCAGAAAAGTAACTTCAACCTTACTTTTTCTGCTTAATACACAATGGGATACGGCTCAAATTGGACACTATGGTTTCATCAGAATCTCATATTTTACACTAAGGTTTCAAATGGATCAAATTAGACACTATGATTTCATATGTATCTCATATTGGACACTAAAGTTTCATAATTAATAGATTTTGGACACTCACTTATATTGGATAAAGATCAAATTGGACACTCACTTATATTGAATTATGAAACTTTAGTGTCCAATATGAGATACATATGAAACCATAGTGTCTAGTTTGGTCCATTTAAAACCTTAGTGTCAAAAATAAGATTCTGATGAAACCATAGTGTCCAATTTGAGCCTTATCCCATACACAATTCAGCACGCGAAAGCAAAAATTACGCATTTGGTGAAAAAGCTGGCTGATAAGCCGAAAATCAGTGTTGCAAAACGGCCTCATAATGGTTATACTCATAACCTTGTTTAAAATTCTAGAGCAATCCGGTTTCATCCGATCTTGGACGGGTGTTCACCCAATCACCCCTGCCAAAAACACCTTTGCAAAATTATTGAAACTTTTCGGCGGCTTTAAACTTTAAAGATAAAATAAATTATTTCTTGTTTCGTTTGAACGTGGACGGGTTATTGGGCAGGGGGTCCTTTCCCCTTGGTGTTCTAAAATGGGCGGAATAGTTCAGCTGAAACGGCTAAAAGATTTATCATTCCAATTATCTGCTCTGCTTCGGAACGCAGAATCGGGGGACCCAAATACTAACATACAGATATGCCGGAAAGTTTCTTCTCAGAGGCGGTCGTCCCACAGCAGAAGCTCTACGACGGCAGACCCTTCCCCGCCGTGCTATCGCCTGACCCAAAAGCTTCATCTCCGAGCTTCCCAGTCGCGATTAAAGAGGAAAAGGAGTGGCTTGAAGCTCTTCTCCATCAAGCTGGGGCTATCGTCTTTAGAGGATTCCCGGTGAACTCGGCGTCGGATTTCAACGACGTTGTCGAGGCCTTCGGCTACGATGAGCTGCCGTACATCGGCGGCGCCGCCCCTCGGACTAACGTTGTTGGTCGCGTTTTCACCGCAAATGAATCCCCACCCGATCAGAAGATCCCTTTCCACCACGAAATGGCTCAGGTTGTTTAGTTATTGCTAAATTGCTCAAAATTGGATCCATTATGATGTTATCTCAAAACAAGTTTTTTTAGCTCTTATTAAAGAGTCTAACTAATTTAAACTTCTATCACAATAATGAATTCTGTTTTGGAGAAAAAATTGTTGTCTGAATTGAAAAGAATAAAATAATATATTACGAGTAAGTATTTACTAGTGTATAGGAGTTTTTCTTTAAATATTGTCTCAAAAATCGTTCCGTATAGATCAATCTCATCATGTCAACTTAGTTAAGTAATTTGATTAAAATGTTATTAATCTATGTTAATGTCTCAATCCAAAGAAGTTTTAAAATGAGACATTTTTTAAGGGAAAGGGGGAGTAATATAGTAATGAAGAGATAGATTAACGTTAAGGAATAGGTAGAATATTGTTTACATTATAGGAGTGAGAATAATTTTGTTTTAAAATCTTGTTTAATTAGTTTGATGTGAATTAAAGAATAATGCTCCCTCCGTCCCGCTATGATTGTCTCATTTTACCTTTTCGGTCCGTCCCACTAAGATTGTCTCATACCTTATTTGATAAAATTTGTGTGGTTCTAAATCATTTTTACTTTATTCTTACTTTATCAATTCAATATAAACCACATAAACCCACTTTTATTAATAATTTTGTCCCAAACTAACTTAAGGGGACAGGGTAGTAGGAAGTTTTTATTTTTATGTTCCTTCTCTGAATTCTGTTATATTGTTATATCAATATTAGCTACCTTCTTAAAAAAAAGAATAATATTAAATGAATTTGAGGGACCCACTTCTGAATATGCCGGGAAGTTTCTTCTCGGAGGCGGTCATTCCACAGCAGAAGCTCTACGACGGCAGACGTTTCCCCGCCGTGTTATCTCCTCACCCAAACGCTTCATCTACGAGCTTTCCGGTCGCGATTAAGGAGAAAAAGGCGTGGCTTGAAGCTCTTCTCCATCAAGCTGGGGCTATCGTCTTCAGAGGATTCCCGATGAACTCGGCGTCGGATTTCAACGACGTTTTGGAGGCCATGGGCGGAGAGCTAGGGGTGGGTCAACTTAGGCCATGGCTCACCCCAAATTTTAAAAATGGCTTAATTTTTAAGGTAAAAAATTTGGTGTAATTTTTTCTAAAAAATTTTTTGCACCGGCTTAGTTCGGTCCAGTGCCCTGGCTCCGCCCCTGGTCGAGGCTTCGGCAACGATGAGCTGCCGTACATCGGCGGCGGCGCCCCTCGGACTAATGTCGTCGGTCGCGTTTTCACCGCAAATGAATCCCCACCCGACCAGAAGATCCCTTTCCACCACGAAATGGCTCAGGTTGTTTAGTTATTGCTAAACTATTAAGAAATTGCTCAAAACTGGATCTATTATGATGTAATCTCAAAACAAGTTTTTTTAACTCTAATTAATGAGTCAAAATAATTTAAGGGAAAATTATTATTAGCCCTCTGAGGTTATGCCATTATTATTAAAGCAACCTTTCATTTTCAAAAATCAATTAATTACCCCCTAAGTTTTGATCATTTTCATTGTTTTCCCCCTCACGTTAATATTTATTAAATTTAATTTAATATAACTCTTAAACTCAACAAAAGTTATCTATAAAATTTAATTTTAATGTAAATCACAATTTATTATCATAATTATAAGTAATTGTTGTTTACCGTTACTTTTATGCTTAGCTACTTAATCATGGAATAATGAAAGTAGTTAAGCCAGAAGACTCACGAGTAAGATATAAAATATCATGAATTTTATATTTTTTATTTAAAAAAATTAAATATCATTTAAGCTTATTAAACTAAAATAAACTTTTTGTGAAGAAGAAATCATCAAGATTTGTAATAGAATTAATAAAAAATTAAACAAATAAAAATATATGATATATATTTTAGTTCTTAGATTGATAGATTTCATTTATTCAGGCTCTATATCGATACAATTTTGCCTTTTAGTTCTCTTATTATTAATTACAAGATCAATCTTTTAGGTCATGGATTGATAAAAATCATTTTTTCTTGGTTCTTTGCTACACACGAAAGAAGTGTCATTGGTTCTCTTCCTTAACTACTTTGATCAATATTTAGTATACGATCGAGTAGTTAAGTAGAAAAATAACAATAAAAAATAATGACTCATAATTATGATAATAAATTGTGTTTTACTTTAAAAATTAATTTCACAAACAATTTTGATTGAATTTAAGTGTTATATTAAATTTAATTTAACAAATATTAATATGAGGGGACATATAGTGAGAATGATCAAAACTCAGGGGCTAACTAATTGATTTTTGAAAATGCAAGGTTGCATTAATAATTATGACACAACCTCAGGGGCTAATAATAATTTTCCCATAATTTAAACTTCTAGCACAATAATGAGTTCTGTTTTAGAGAAAAAATTGTGGTCTGAATTGAAAAGAATAAAATAATATACTCCGTATTACGTATTTACTAGTGTATAGGAGTTTTTCTTTAAATTATGTCTCAAATTGAAATATTAAAATCGTTCCCTTTAGATTGATGTCATCTTAGTTAAGTAATTTGATTAAAATATTATTGATCTATGTTATTGTTTATCTTAATCCAAACAAGTTTTAAAGTGAGACATTTTTTAAGGGAAAGGGGGAGTAATATAGTAATGAAGAGATAGACTTACGTTAATGAACAGCAAGATATTGTTTACATTATAGGAGTAGAGTAATTTTGTTTTAAAATCTTGTTTAATTAGTTTGATGTGAATTAAAGAATAATTGGAAGTTTTTATCTTTATGTTCCTTGTTTGAATTCTGTTATTTCCATATAAGCCATCTTCTTAAAAAAAGAATAATATGAAGTGAATTCGGATGAATCGGAATAAGTCCCGGTTATCGAATCATAAAGTATTCATTTTTCACCTTAACCAAATGAAGCGTACCTTAGGTGAATTTATTTTCATTTAATCCAAGTTTCTTTTGTCATTTCAACTTGAAATTGGCAAAGGACCTCGTGGTCTTATGGTGTTACCGTGATCCTACCAAAGAGGACTCACAGATTCAAGTATCATACTAATCTCATGCTAATTAAATGTTAACATTTGATATAGAACAGGATCACTATTAAACTTTCACTTGCTATTTTTATTATAAAAAATTTTCTTTCCAACGGGAATCTTTATAAAGTTTTCATGAACATTTTTTCACATTCAAATAGTTTCTTTGTTAGGAATCCTAAAAGATTTTACTTCTACTTTTTCAGAAAATAACAAGACTCGACCAGTCCAAAAAAGAAAATAACAAGACTCAAAATAATATACGAATTATTTGATGGGCTTACTTATCATAAATAGTGTGTAAAATCTAAATTTCCCTTTGCCTTCCACAGTTTGTTCATTCTAATTTTAAAGTTTATAAACTCCAAATTAGTACATAGAGAACACAATAGTGTGATATTCCTATATTAATATTATTAATATTGAGTTTCCTCTACAACTTCAAAACTCCTTGACGGCTTGAGAAGACTTTATGGCATGTGGTCGATCTATTATTGTTTTCTTTTCAACTTAATTAAACAGTGATTATGTATACTATGCTTAAAAATAGAAGAAGTCCATCCTTCAAAAAAAAAAGTTTACAGTCACTTAACCTATGTTTTCATGATCATTTTAGCTCAACAAGAGTTGACGTTGGCCAAATTAGATAATTATTTCACGTGCAATTTTCGACGTGATTTTCACCAAAAAAGGCTGTGTACTTCCGATCCTATCTTATCCCACCGTAGGTGGGAGCCTTTGCGGCATTGGGGGTAGTGATGATTATGTAACTTTATGTGGATGTGGACCTAAACTTGGTTGGATCTAACATTAATGTAAAATAATTTTATTTAAATTGTATCTTATTTCTATTTTAACATTTGGTTTTATGATTATTTTACATTTTCCAATCGTTGTTTCAGTTCTCTAGTTTAGCGAGCATATTTTATTTAGATAGCATTTGAGTTGCAATCAATTTTATCTTCCTCCAGACAATAGTTGTCTAACTTCAGTTAATTCTTCCAAACATCTCCTTAATCTAGAGAAGTGTTTTGAGAAAATGTATCTATCTAATGTAGGTCCCAGAGTATCCATCAAAGTTGTTTTTTTATTGTGAAGTAGAGCCTGGCAATGGAGGGGAAACCCCAATAGTACTTAGTCATGTTGTGTATGAGAAGATGAAGAGCAAATATCCAGAGTTTGTGCAGCGATTGGAGAAGGATGGCTTAATCTATACCCGAGTGTTGGGAGAAGAAGACAATCCTTTGTCCGCAATTGGCCGTGGATGGAAATCGACATTTTTGACCTCCGACAAGAGCGTTGCTGAAGAAAGGTTTGAATTCCAATATGGTCTTTACGTTTATTTCCTCAATAGTAAATAATCCGTCCATTACACATTTGCTTATCACTAATAACCATAATAAAACTAAGGCTAATCCACATGCAGTTTGCTTATAATCCCTCATGGACATGGGCATAGCCATTGCAGCCATGGGGCAATCGGGCCTGCTCGGAATCCAATCTCGAAAAAATTTTGTATTATATGCAGAGATTTCCATAAATAGGAGTTAAATGAAGCAAATTTTCTCAAATAGAAGTACACAATTTCGCAAATTTTCTCTATTTGTGGAAGTTTTTATTCTTTTATTCGTTTAACTGAACTAGATAAGTTCTATTTTAGGGGGATATATACTTAGTTCTATTTTAGCACTATTTCTGTGTTTTTATTCTTATTTTGAGCAGTTTCTTTTCTTTAAACTGTAATTTTTTAGGGGTGCGGAGTTAGGAATGAAGCTCGAGTGGCTTGAAGACGGAGTGAAAACAATTATGGGTCCAATACCAGCTATCAAGTCCGACCACATTAGACAACGAAAAATATGGTTCAACAGCATGGCGGCTGCATACACTGGCTGGGAGGATGCACGAAACGATCCAAAGAAGGCAGTCACTTTTGGGGATGGAAGTGCCTTGCCTGCTGAAATCATACATGATTGTGTCAAAATACTGGAAGCAGAAAGTGTTGCGGTGCCATGGAAGAGAGGCGATGTTCTGCTCATTGACAATTTGGCTGTTCTTCACTCCCGAAGACCATTTAATCCTCCTCGTCGCGTTCTAGCCTCTCTGTGCAAGTGAGGCATGCATCATTGTAGGGAGTGTGTGGTCACAATATTTGACAATATTGTGAACTCTGAATATTATTGATATGAAGTTGTTGGGGCATTCATGAATATGATCATAACAATATGACGTTTTCATAATAATACGAGATTGTTGAAGTTTTCAACAAACGTTCTATTTTATGGAGTATGTAAAGGCTTGGACCGAGAGGCAAAGGACTAGTGTTAAGATTAGTCCGTTGGTGTGTACTTTCAGCTCATGGAATTTCTATATATAGAGTCAGCTTGTATTTTGTATGGGTGAAAGAATGTACTACGTAGTTTGATTCTTTTTATCTGAAGGCATATACTATAGTAGCTACCTTCTCTTTACAGAGTCCGTTAGTTCTTATGACGTGGGGATCTTCAAGTGGACTCCTTACCAAATATAGGAAAAAGGAAAGAGAAGATAAAATGTAGAAAAAATAAGGGTAATTGAGTATTTATAAAGGAAAAATTTACCAAAAAGAAAAGTGTAACAAACTTTTAAATGCATCCCAAATAGAAAAGTGTAGGAAACTTTTAAATACGAAGAGAGTAAGTAAAATAAGTGTAATGGGAGGACTGTTTCAACAAATTTCCTACATTGATACTCCGTATAATATACGTAGTACTCTCTGTACTTTAACTAAACGAGACTAGTTCATACTTAAATAGACAAATCATTCAATTTCAAGACAAGTAGGAAATAGATTGTCTGAATGCTAGAGTATATACTATACTAGACTATGACACAATTTAGTATGTGAAATCATATCATTTGATTTAGTAGTTTAAATACAAATTTGCTCTTTGTACCCACCCAATATACCCACCCTATACACACTACAAATACCCCCAAAAAATTACCCCCCTCTTTTCCCCTCACCTCACCCGCGTATCTCACCCCACCGACCCACCTTTCTCGCTCACTCCCCCCTTTCTTGAAAATCAAAACTCCCGCACACAGTGTCTTCTTCTTCAACGCCTAAGCAACCATCAACGACAAAAAAACTGGAGTTTCCTTCCTCTTCCATGGATTTTCTCTTGGACAAAACCATGGTGACAAACGACGACGAATTTTGGTCTATGTGGATTGACGGAGCTGAAGAAACCGGAGGTGATGAAAGGGAAAAATCTGTCGGACTTGGAGAAAAAGAAGGACAGATGGCCGGTGATGGAGAAGGTGACGGAATGACGGACGTAGGCGGAGAAGGCTCCGGACAGAAGGCTGGACTTGGAGAAGGTGATGGACACACCGGAGGTGGAGAAGGTGACGTTACGACGGACGTAGGCGGAGAAGATGGACTAACGTCGGCGGCGGCCATGGACGTTGTTTCTGACCTCGGTATGACTTCATCTTCTTCTCTCATGGTTTTAGCAGTTCATTGAACGTTAAAATACATTTCTTCTCACAGACATGGTTTTAGAGGTGGAACTTGTTTATTTGTTCTATTGTTTGTGTATGTAAATAGTGGTGGACAAGTTTGTTTGTGTAGTGTTGTGGGTGTCTGTTGAAGTTTTTGAATTGTCTGTGTGTGCATATATGACTGTTTGTGTGTACCCCTAAGTTTGTTTCAACTCATGCATACGTTTCTTCAAACATGTAACTTTATGCAGCTCCAACTTCTTAATATTTGTTTTTGTTTGTGTATGTAGAACGTCGTAGACTTGTTTGTTTGTGTGGTATTCAACATGTCTGTGAAAATTATGAATTGTCTGTGTGTGACAGTAAGTTGGTTTGAGCGCATGAATAAATAGTGGTGGACAAGATTGTTTGTGTAGTGTTGTGGGTGTCTGGTGAAGTTTTGAGTTGTCTGTGTGTGTATTTTTTACTGTCTATGTGTACCCCTAAGTTTGTTTGAACTCATGCATACGTTTCTTCAAACATATAACTTTATGCAGCTGTAAGTTCTTAATATTTGTTTTTGTTTGTGTATGTAGAACGTCTTACACTTGCTTGTTTGTGTGGTATTCAACGTGTTTGTGAAACTTGTGAATTGTCTGTGTGTGCACCTATCACTGTCTGTGTGTGATAGTAGGTTGGTTTCAACGCATGAATAAATGAATTATGTTACATAACAGATGGAGAAGGGGTGGCAATGGAGATTGAAGTTGGTAAAGACCCAGAGCTTGGTATGGAGTTTGAAAGCAGAGAAGCGGTCTATGATTTCTACAAAGCATATGGGAAGCGTTTGGGTTTTCCTATAAGAACTAGGAGCACAACAAAAGACAAAAAAGGAGTAAAGATTGTGTCAATTGTACTAGAGTGTTCGCGGGCTGGTCAGAGAGGTAGTCAGTCAAAAAATCAATTGAAGCCCCAACCTTCAATGCAAATAGGGTGTGGGGCTAGACTACGAGCACACGTAAATTCTGAGGGACTTTGGGAAATATCAAAATTGTTTGTACAACATTCACATCCTATGAGTCCAACAAAGGCTAGACTATTCCGTTGCCATAGGAAGTTGACTCATGGAATGGCGAGGAAACTTGCAATAAATGAAGTTGCGGGAATACGACTTAATAAAAGCTTCACCGCGGCCGTTGTTGAAGCCGGTGGATATGATCAACTTCCATTCATTGAAAAAGATTGTAGGAACTATATAGATAAAGTGAGACAACTTAGGTTAGGTAGTGGCGATGCAATTGCCATTCAAGGGTTCTTTGCTAAAATGCAAGACCAATGTCCCGGATTTTTCTTTGCACTTGACTTAGATGACGAGTCAAGATTGCGTAATGTATTTTGGGCTGACAATAGGTCTAGATATGCGTACAAAGAATTTGGAGATGTCATAACATTTGACACGACCTATCTTACGAATAGGTATGACATGCCTTTTGCACCATTTGTCGGGGTAAACCATCACGGGCAATCATTGCTAATGGGATGTGGCTTAGTCTCTAATGAAGATACACAAACCTTTGTGTGGTTGTTTAAAGCATGGCTTGAATGCATGGATGGAATCGCTCCAATGGGGATTATTACCGACCAAGACCGTGCCATGCAAAACGCCATTGCAATTGTCTTCCCAAATTCGAAACACCGATGGTGTTTATGGCACATAATGAAAAAGGTACCCGAAAAACTCGGAGGGAATGCACAAAAAGATGAAATATTGGATGTTATACATGACTGCATTTATGATTCACAGTACACCCAAGAGTTTGAGGAAAAATGGCTTGATATGGTTCAAAGGTATGAATTTGTAAGCTTTGTGTTTTGTTCTGGCAGTAACTATTTCTCTGCCTCATAGACAGGTCTGTCTGTCACAGACAATATAGTTTGTACTTCACGGACACAATGTGTTTGTGGGCAGAGAATTACTTCTTTGTCATTTATTTAGAAACTGATTACTTGTTTGTGCACTTAAATTGTAATTAGGTTTTCACTAGAAGAGCATGATTGGCTTGGGGTGATGTACAATGAAAGAAACCGGTGGGTACCATGTTATTTAAAGCCAACATTTTGGGCCGGCATGTCCACAACTCAAAGAAGTGAGAGCATCAACGCTTTTTTCGATAAGTTTGTCAATTCAAAAACCACTCTAAAACAATTTGTTGAACAATACGGATGTGCTTTGCGTGATAAGGTGGAAAAAGAATTTCAAGCGGATACTAACTCATTTACCAAAATGATTCCATGTGTGACTAGATATCCAATGGAAAAACAAGTGCAACAAATTTATACCCTTTCTAAGTTTGCGGAGTTTCAAAGGGAATTACTTGAAGGAAAGCTTTATTGTGATATCCTTTTATGTGAAGACGGTAGAAAATACACAGTGCAGGAGCATATGGATATTAATGGATTTAAGAAGAATGTGAACTTCTATATTGACTTTGACCCAATTACTTGTTTTGGAATATGTAGTTGTCATTTGTTTGAGTTTAGGGGAATGATATGTAGACACTTGCTTGTGGTATTTAATCGGCTTGATATACACCACTTGCCCGAGGTGTACCTAATGAGTAGATGGAGGAAAGACATGAAAAGAGCGTACCAACGAGTCAAAATCAATTACGACGGATGGATTACAACGGTTGAACAACAACGCTTTGACAAGTTATGCAAGACATTTGAGTCTGTTGCCAACATGATTGTGGATGATGAGGCGAAATACAATGAAGTCCTCCTTTGGTTGGAAACCCAGTTAACCACATATACTCCTCTAGTTAGCTATTCTTGTATTGTTGGCAACATGACGCCACTTGAAGACCCAAAAACAAATATTCATGCCGAGGTCCCACTTCCACCTATTGGAGATCCAAAATGTACGAAGCGCAAGGGAGCTCCAAGGAAAAACAGAGCAAAGGGTCCACTAGAAAAGGGTAAGAAAGGAAGGCCGGAGAAGGATAATGCACGACCCACAACCACAACTCAACATGGTAATGGTGAAGGGCCTAGTCATGGTGCAGCTAATGGGCCAATCATGTATTCTACTGGTTTAGATTTAAATCTATCTTTGATGTGAATACATGTACTATGATGTACTGTTTTTTTGTTGTATCATCAATGAAACTGTTTATAGTCACAGACATTATTATGTCCTCACAGTCAGATCGGTGCTCTGCCACAAACAAGTATATTTATTCATAGACACAATTATTTGGAGGGGCAGAAAATATTCATGTGATAATTCAGATTATATCCATTATTTAATTAACGCACATATTCATGTAAACAAGAAAATATTTAATTAACGCTCATATTCATGTGATAGTTGAGATTATATCCATTGTTTAAGATATTTTATAGTTAAAATTATCATTATTATACCATGTAGTTGAGATTATATCCAGTATTTAAGATATTTTTAAAGTATACAAAATTATTCTTGGATGAAAAAAAAGTGATATGAACATTATTTTTTATGAACTATAAGCTTTACTTCAACAACTTTATAAATTTTGCTTGTTAATACTTAATATACTCACAGACAAACAAATTTCCACTAGCAGACAATATATTATATAGTCACAGACACATGTTATTACAAACAAAGAACATTATAATACATAACATTTCAAAGTGTTAAAAATAACACAAAAACCAACTTAGAAATTTGGTTACATGCTTCATATGAACCCTCTTGGGGAATAACCTTGTAGGACATTTTACAACGTTCATTACAGCACAACCGCCAAAACAATGTACATGATCATACATTATATTCCAGAAGGTTACAAAAACACAAAACCAGCAAAATAATGTTTCTTACATGGGAACCATGACAGTTATGTATACACATTAGCAAAAAAATAGACATCCACATATGTCTACGAAACAGTCTGTCTCAAACTCCAAAGCCGTAGTGCGAAATGCCATCTCTTGCTGGCCACGTTCGCATACTCGCAATATGGCCTCATCGGTAGCCCCAACATCAATGCTTCCGCATAAGCAACAACCATGAGTCCGCAAATACTTCTACAACACAGACATAACAAACAATTATTCTCTGCTCACAGACATAATTGTACACTGCACATAAACAAATACAAGATTAACAGATTACAATTACCCTCCCTCCTGTTGCGGAACATCTGCAACTGCCTTAGCTTTCCAAACCTCTACCTTACTCAGATCTGGGTGGGCTTGTATGACTCGGAAGAGGAGCGGAAGTCTGACACACAGATCGGCCGCATGCAACCTTGACCTACTCGTTCTCATAGAGTCATATACACGCACCAATTTTGCATGTAGGTCAATTTCCGCTAAAACCCAATGCATCCCAACAACATTCAAAGGTACAAAAACCTTAACACAACAACAACAACAACAAAATACTTGAGCACTTTTTAACCAAGAACATTCAGAGGTACGAAAACGTTAACCCAATTAAAAGAGTCCAAACCAAAATACACAAACAATTACATAAAAGAGTTTAAGCAGTTACCTTCTCCAAACCTCTCCAGTCCACAGCTGGTAGATACTTATCGCGAGTCCAGACGTTCTCATCGTTAGCATCCTTACTCAACAGTTGATGCTGCACGAAGAAAATTTATAATGACCCAAAAATTGGAAATACTTATGTAAGTTTGGTAAAGATACAGTGATAAAGACATACCGTAAAGTAAGGGTTTATTAGCTTATACGGCTTCTCCGTCTTACAATCTTTTACAAGCAGGTACGATAGAGCATCCATATGCTAAGAAAAAACAGCGTGAGACAATTATTGAATCATGTAAAAATTGAAAAAGTTTAGGCACTCACATAGGACCATAGTGTCTCATCTGGTTGAACAAGCTCACGGAAAAACTCCCTATCCACTTCATCAAATGATGGTAGATTCAGAACAACCATTTTCGGTTCTACATTGTCAGGTTCTTCAATCCACGCCTTCAGAGATGCAATATCATCGTCGCTTGGGTGAAACATAGGAGGTTCAATTGGGATAATCGGGTCAAGGTATGGTGAGCATTTGTAGTTTGCACGACACCGTTTCCTCTTATGTCGATGTTTCGTGCTGACATCTTCAAGTGGCTCAACATCAAGCGGTGTACTACCAACATCGCCTCCATCCCAATCCAAATTTTCAAATGGACCGGGCGCGGTTACCGAAGGTAACTGCTCATCCTCCACCTGCTGAGAGTCCTGTTACACACCATGGAATTAAAATGCATTTTAAACAATCTTACTATACAAACCATAACATAAAATGCATTGCACCAACATTGCTTTATTACACATATATCTTGGAAATTGCATTATAAACACCAATATGTGTTTACCTCGTTTAAACACATCATAATATCCGGGAAGTTGCTGCCATGCTTATTGTGCTCATTTTCCCAATCCACCTATCAAGTAAATAAGTAGATCAATTTTCATGGTGCACAAAAACAACAATGACACATCAATAACCATACCTCAGTCACCACAGTTGAGATGATCAAATCTGCCCGTGTGCCACCTTCATTCTTTAAGGGGTTGCTAACGTCCCCAACTTCCTTAACAACACCATCTTCATGGGCGGTAAAATCTGCGGTCGGAGATAACTGCCTGTATGCCACCCCATGACGATCTGCAGCGGCACCTTCTTCATGTACACTCGTGCTCTTCAAAGGAACATCTGCAGCGGGACCTTGACCTTCACCTTGACCGGCATCAGCATGGATAACCTCGGCATCTTCACCGTCACTAGTTTGTACTATGTTCTCACCCTCCGCCTCAACCGCAGCCTCGTCCTGAACAACCACGTCATCATTATCAACCTTATCAACCTACAATAGATGTAGTTGACAGTATTAGTCGCATAGTTAATGAAAAGGGCCCGCAAATGACACACACAAAGTAAGTTACATCATACCTCTTCTTGAACAGATGGATTCTGATTACCAATCAGCTTCTGAAGTAGTACCTTAATTTCTGAAATACTATCTTCAACGATAGTAATCTTCTTTTCCACCTTTTCAACACATACCCGCAGGTTCTGCATCTCCTCCAATATTTTCAGTTTTTCAAAAACTTGAACGTCTTCCTCGTTTGTTTCATCTTCTTCCTCTCCCTCCTCTGAATCAGAAACCTTTTCCTCCTCCTAGGCTTAATAAAAATTAGTAAAATTTAGGGTATTTTAAATTAACTTAATCAATGCAACATACCTCTAGAAAGACCAATCTTCTAAGCTTGGAGTAATGAAATTTCGGTACAGCCGTCCAATTAAGCAAAGGCACGTCATGATTACCCACTTTGTTTGCAAAGTGCGTACCAACTTCAGGAATTTCTTCGTACGCCCACACCTATACAAATAAGAATAAACAGGAAATACATTTGTGCTTCACATAAATGAAAACGTGTATAAAATTAATGTAAAACGGTATATGAAAACTGTAACAAAATTATAAACACGTATAGGAAAATTAGTGTAAAAAGTTATATGAAAACTGTATATAAAATTAGTTAAGTTTATATGAAAAGGGTATAGGAAAATTATATACACAGTTTTCAAATAACATATTAGAAATTAAGATCCATATGATATTATTACTACAAAATTATAAACATAGTTTTCAAAAGCGAATAGGAAAATTATAATCACTTTAAATGATAGTGAATTAAAATAGTTCCAATTCAAACAGTTTGAAATAGTGATATATACGTAAACAGTAAGTACAATTGGGAAGTTGACATATATACCTGCAAAACTAGTGGAAACCCGTAAACAGATAACTTTGCATTCTTATACTTAGGATTCTTCTTCTTCCGCTCCTGGAACTTATCAGGTTGGTCTTGCATCAGATCCTTCATGTGTTTCACCAATATCTTGTAAGATTGAAGTGACCACGGACACTTCCCGAATGCCTCTAAATCATTGGCCAATCTGACTGATGATGAATTGATCCTCGTAGTGTTGTCCTTGGCAAGCAAAATGCACTCAATATAGAACAACGAGGCCAACTTCACAGCATCATCACCGCGTTTGGATGGCTTCAGTTTTGTAAAGATATTCTTCATATTGGCGTGGGTTATGTTATCTTTGCCACCGAAATACTTCTCCGCAAGGGCCCCTACTGGTTCATCTTCTTGGCCAGATTGCTGTCCAGAATCATCTCCACAATCTTCATCCTCTGGTGCGGCAAGGTCTGCTTCAGCAGCTTCTGGTTCGTCATGTATTGGTAATCCACTTATGTAGCTAAAATCTGCATAAGTGAACTTATACAGTGTACCCCCAATGCCAAACCACAGCTCATTATCCGGTTGGTCCTGCACTAGGTGTAAGGCCAGCATGTGCAAGATTTGGCCAGAGTTGTCTGTTTGTGGGATGTCAACAATGTTCTAAAAGGCGTAAGGCGTGTCGAGGCGGCACGGCCAAGCCTTAAGCCTTTGAAGCCTAGGCGGGCTTAGGCGGGGCTTAGGCGTGAAAAGGCGTTTTGATTTTTTATCCCTTATTTTAATATTCGTAAAACTATTTTTAAATATTTAAATTTACAAAATAGACAATGTCATTCCAAGACATCAGATTTTCCCGATTTTGAACATAAAGGGTTTGTCGAGTCCTATATCTAACAAATACGGAGTATAAATTTACCAATCACACAAAAACTTGATCTTAAAAAATAATAAATATAACAAAACATGTACTAACATATGTGAAAAAATTACTGCAAAAGAAGCTATTAGTTAATATTCGCTTGTAATATTGTTGAATATACCATGTAAAAGCATTGGACTTTTACATTTTCGGACAATACAGTTTTAAAATCGTGTCAATGACTCGTAATATATGCATCTACTATAATAAAATATTATTTCATAGTCATAATACTAATAACAATAATAATCATATTATTTTAACAAACAAGCTAAGAGTAAAATAGTAATATAACAATAATATTTTAATGATTATTATTCAAGAATAAAGTTATTTGAACTAAATATTATAGTTATATTAGCAATATAATAGACGTAGGTGTAAAATCGAAAAAAAGAATAAAGAATGTATGCAAGCAGAATAGATGCGTGCAACATAGTATTATCCTAATGTTCCCACACCGGAAAAGTGGAGACAATTCCTCCTATTGCCTGCCTATATATTAAAGTCATTCATCCGAACTGAATTTTGTCAAAGAGTTAAGCTGCTACGTGGTCCACGTGGATTAAACATGGCCTAACAAGCCTTTAGTTAAAAACTTTTCGGCAAATTAATGGCTTAATTAATGGCTTAATACGCCTTGGAGCACGCCTTATTGGTGAGCTGGGCGTTTGCTCTGCGCCTTGCGCATAGGCGCGCCTTAGCGCCGCCTAATAAGGCCTTTTAGAACACTGCGTGCAACATAGTATTATCCTAATGTTCCCACACCGGAAAAGTGGAGACAATTCCTCCTATTGCCTGCCTATATATTAAAGTCATTCATCCGAACTGAATTTTGTCAAAGAGTTAAGCTGCTACGTGGTCCACGTGGATTAAACATGGCCTAACAAGCCTTTAGTTAAAAACTTTTCGGCAAATTAATGGCTTAATTAATGGCTTAATACGCCTTGGAGCACGCCTTATTGGTGAGCTGGGCGTTTGCTCTGCGCCTTGCGCATAGGCGCGCCTTAGCGCCGCCTAATAAGGCCTTTTAGAACACTGGATGTCAATGAGATGGCCCCAAGGTAATTCGCGAAACCTATCCTTTTGTGTTGGAGATAACCTGTCTTTTACCCACTTCGCTGCAATTCTGAAGGCTGAACAGACGGAATACTGCGCGGGGAAATAATCATGACTTGGAATGCGTAGCTTCAGGGACCTGGCAGTTGGACAAACAGAAATTAACTTATGCCAGACAGACAAAAACAGACCTTCATAGACCAAAAGATTACCCCAACACAATAAATAACACTCCTAATTTGATTCATACACAATAAAACACACAGACAACTTCTAAACGTTTACAAAGGAACTAGACTATATAATACAGACACAATTTGATTCACAGACAATAAATAACACTTCAAATGAACTTCACAACACCACATAGACACCTATATCATGCACAGACACTAATCAACACCAAATCAACTTTGCACCACCACGCAGACAACTTATAAACATGAACAAAGTAATTAGACTATTTCATAGACACAATGTCATGCACAGACAACAATTAACACCCAATGAAGATTTCACCACCACACACACACCTTATGAACATCAACAAAGGAAGCATACCAATTCATATATAAATGTTGATTCACACACAATACTTCACATATTCAGTCTTAAAATGTTCGATCCAGAAGTATACCACAAATAAATGGTGATTCACACACAATACTTCACATATTTCACAAATTCACCTTATTCGGATACTTCACATACACACAGCCCCATGTTCAAACTTTGCCAAAAACCCAACAAATCCAAAAAATTTAAAAAAAATTACCCTAAAAATAAACAAAGATTGGGAAATGATACATACCCGTCCGCCATCTCCACTGGTGTGCGTCGCCGTCTTAAAGTTGAAGAAAGGGCTCGTCGCTTCTTAACCCTCAAATCGCCCACACTTCGAGAAGCCCCGCTTCGAATCGACACAGATAAAGAACGGCTTCGAAGAGGAGAGTGGTCGCAGGGATGCCGGTTATCACCTCTAAACCAGACTGCTCGTGCGGATGTGGGAGAGAAGTATGGGGGAGAGGAGTTTCGATTTGGGTGAGAAGGACGGCGGGTGTTTTGATTTTCAAGAAAGGGGGGAGCGAGTCATTGGCGGGTGAGGTGAGGGGAAAAGAGGGGGGTAATTTTTTTGGGGTATTTGTAGTGTGTATAGGGTGGGTACATTGGGTGGGTACAAAGAGCAAATTTGGTTTAAATAATGGAAGTCATAAGATGATTGTTTCGATATTTTCGTTCATAGTGATTAATAATTACATTACATTTATAATACTCCGTACATCTTATCTTGTTTCGTTGTTCATAGGTGCACATGTTAGTCAGACTGCACGTTAAGTCTACTTTGCACTTTGCAGTTAAGTCATAATACATCTTATCCTGTTCATGACTAAATCATTAAGCAAAATTCAGCCTAGATTATATTTTAGGCCTAGTTCTTGCCACTTTTAAATTTTAATCTCCTAATTATTGGGAGCGCTTGGAAAAATGACTATTTGACCATTTTTAGCGTTTTCAAAAAGTGAAAAATTTGTTTGGTAAATAGTTGTTCGGTAATAGCGTTTTTTGCCGGAAACACTGAAATGAAAACGCTGCTAATAAGAAAGTTTCGGGTTAGCGTTTTGAAAAATAGCGTTTTCCACTCATTTTATGACAAGAAAGCTAAATTACCAAACATCTTCTGACAATCCGCCAATTTATTCCAGTAGTCAAACCCGCTGATTGAATCCGCTATTGACAACCCGCTAACATAAACCAATATTCTTTAACCGCTAATTGCTGAATGCCAAACACGTCCATTGTGTCCGTGACATTTTGATTAATTTCTCCACTACTTTTAGTCTTTCGACTATAGTACGAGAGACACTTTTGATTCTCAATTTTAAAATTCTCCCATTTAGTCCTTTGAGTACTGCAAAATTTATACCTTTAGTCCTTCCAGTGTGATCTTGGCACAATAAAGGAGGGCTGAACATGTCAAAATGATAATCGTTAAATAAAAACCCAAAGTGTCATTTTTATGAAAGTTGAAAGACTAAACATGAAAAGTTTCAAAGATGAGTATAAAAAATGTCTTTTGCACGATAGCCGTCGGCGAAAAGACAAGTTTTTTGTGATTTGTGATTTGTGAATAGTCTGTTCAGAGACATAATTTTTTTTACTTTGAACGGACTATTCATATATAGACAAATAATTGCATGTTCATCGATGCATATATGAAATATGTATAAGTGGACATATACACGGAAATTATGAAGTAGTGATGGTTAGGTCTTGATGCATTTACGGTGGATCGATGCTCTCAACATTCTCTTCACTACAAAAAACTTACCGGATTGACATAGATTTGACATGGAATTATCAATAATTTCGTGACAAATAGCTCGTGCCAAATTGATTTTGTCACGAATTTGACATATCTCTGCCAAAATCTTTGTCAAATTTAGAGTCTTAGTAAAAAATCCAAATTGTTTCTTTTGTAATGTCCCCGCTCTCAACTTTTTTGAGAAGACGCTCATAATTCAGAAGAGATCTTTAGCATTTAAGAGCCCGTTTGGAGAACTCTGTTTTCGGCTTATCAGGCTTATCAGCCAGCTTTTTCACCAAACACGTAACTTTTACTTTCGCGCGCTGAATTGTGTAATAAGCCGAAAAAGTAAGGTTGAAGTTACTTTTCTGGCTGTATTGGCTGAAGTTACTGTAGAGGACCATTTTAGATATTTTTACATATAATTTTTTCTTTAATTTATTAATAAAATATATTTTTAAAATACTTTTTTCTTAAATCAGCAGAATCAGCCAAAACAGCCACTCCAGCCAGAATATCATAAATTTCAGCAGAATCAGCCAAAACAGCCGATTTTGGTGCTACCAAACGGGCTCTAAATACAGTCAATCAATATTTGTCGTACATACTTCCAAATAATTCATTACCTGGAGGAATTAGAAAACATTCTGCCCATTTTTTCAAACATAGATTCTTCCACAGTTCCACATTTTCACATGCATCAAGCTTTTGTTTTCGAATATAAGTATTCTCCCAACATATTCTTTCACTTAAATACTCTGTATAATTTAGCGCTCCATAATACTCCCTCCGTCCCAGAAAATTCTTCCAACTTTCCTTTTTGGGACGTCCCAGAAAATTCTTCCAACTTCACCTTTTTGATTATTTGTGTGGCTCACATTCATTTCACCTTTTTCTTACACAACTACAACCACACATTTCCACTTTATTCCTACTTTCTTAAACTCCGATCCAAGTCAAACTAGGAAGAATTTTCTGGGACGGATGGAGTATTTACTATCGTATATTATTACAAAGGTAACTACACACTCCAGTGCATGCATCTTCCATGATTGAAGAACCGGTAATAATACTTACGTCGGGTTTTCACTTTTCTATAAGCAACACAAATTTAAATTTTGTAGCAAGAATTTTCAGAGTGGTTGTAAATAAATTATTTTTTTGTACTTCTATTCGACTGTCTATTGAATCCCTTCAATTCAAGATCTATTTTATCTAAGACCATCATGGTGTCCATATTATCTATTGCGTCTCGCGACAAGTCCCCTTCCTGAATAACCGCCACGATGTGTCGAGATGGATGAAAGCTAGGTTGGAAACTTATACTACTATACGGTACTTGACTTTCATGAAATGAATGAGTACACACTATGTTAACGTCAAGGGGCTTGGATATAAATTAGAGGACCTGTGGGGACTCATTCAGTTCCTCTATTGTTACGTTTTTATTAGTTCTTTTGTTGTTGTTATGTTTTTTTATAAAATCATGTTCATTGTTAGATTTGTGTGATGTCTTACAACTAGTTTTGATAAAAGGATGACACCCCATCCCTGAGGGCCCCCCAACACCGACCGGACAACACGATGAGAGGATGTAAATTGGACTATAATCACAATCTGACAGCAGTGCCGGTCCTACCTAAACTCAGGCCTGAGTCGAGCTTCATTAAATGGGCCCTATACATAGTGTTTGTTTATCATATAAATTCACTAAAATTGAATGAATAAATATCACAAAAATGCAATCTTTCAACAAAAGTCTTCCATTATCACAAAACGACATTGAATGTATTAAAAAAATTACTTAAGTAAAACCCGTCGAACAATTTTAGATACATAATTTAGTGGAATCCTCAACAATATATATTATTAATTTTTTCTACAAATCAGCCCTCGAACTAACTTAAAAAGTACAAAATACCCCTTATATAAGAGGTTCTGTCCGACCGTCGCCATTCGGGGTGGTTCCTAGTGTAATTTTTTGATGAAATTTTTTGAGCATCTTTTTCATTAAGTCTAGTTTATCTATACCGACATTCAGCTAAAAATTCAACCAATAGTGCAGTCAAATGATTTTCTGAAATATACTGCGCTGTTTAACTGTCCAGTTATCTTCAAAAATTCATTTGACTGCCTTCCCGATTGCATTTTTACTGAAATTTGGTATGAGTAAGTTAGACTTAATGAAAAAGATGCTAAAAAAATTTCATCAAAAAACTCCACCGGGAATACATAGGTATAATAATAGTAATGCTTACAAAATTGTGGGCCCCTAATCTTTTCAATTTTTTGGGGCCCTGAGGCTTGGGCCTCTCCAGCCTAACATAAGGCCCGGGCCTGTCTGACAGATAGAGAGTAGGGCTCTGATCTGTCCTCGGTACTTTGCAGAGGCCCTATGTATTTTTCAGCATGGTAACCCCTCATCGCAGTTGCCGGGATTCGAACCCGAGACCTAACCCTTGTGGCACTCCCGTGCTACCAGTTGAGCTACGCCCACCGGTTTACAACTAGTTTTGATGTTGTTATAGATATGAGGATTTGTATGTTCAGTGATAACTGTTTTAAGCGTGTTTGGTGGTGATCAACTTATATCTAATCGTAGAGTTATCCGTTGTGATTGGAGGGGGAAGTTATAGTTGGTACTGATTTTTTTGAGCGTATGTGATGTGAGATCATTGATTCTAATGTATCAATTAGGGGCGGACTGTAATACAGACCCTGGGGGTCATCGCTCCTCCAACAAAATTTATTTTTAGTGTGTATATATATATAAGAAAAATAATTTTCGCCTTCTCAAAAATAATTTCCGCCCTCAAAAAATATTTTGAACCATCCAACATGAATTTCATGTATCATCAAGTGATTTCTAGTAAAAAGATACTCCGTATTAGAGTCTTTCGCTTAAACGGGGTTTACGAAATGGAGTACTGTTTTGTCTGGACCTTTCGCTTACCAATAAAATGAATATTTTGTATTACTATACACTTTCATACCACAGTAAAAGAGTGAAAATTTGCTCTAAGGAAAAACTTGTGCGTTTCAAAAAATGTGAAAAGTATAGCAATACTTTACAGTTGGAGTCTTTGGAGAAGTCAAAAGAACGACATGACAAAGACACATTTTTCAACTGTGGGATTTGAAGAAGGGAAAGTACACGCCGTTTGTGATTACTACAATCTCCGGCAAATTAGACATCAAAAATTGAGAAGTTTTAGTTTGTCAATTTTTCGGTGATGACAAACTTTTTTGCCATTTTGGATTGTGGATAGGAAAAATGATTGATCAATTCAAAAAAAATGTCCCATTCATCGAAATACTCGGAAATGTGTAAAATTGAAAAAGTCAATCGCGACCCGAACCAGTAAAACTCAGGCAACACTGATAAATCGAATGTAGTTTGGATGTTTTCTACAGTATATAAAAAGAACTTATTCATCTACGGAGGTTTTTTTTTTACATAAGCCTCTTTCATTCATGAAAATTGCAATCCTAACTTTATTGAATAAATATGTGATATATTTATATTTTTCTTCCTTGAGTGGAAATCATATCAAAATCACTTTGGAAAAGTACTTATAAAAAAAACTAAAGAGAAAAGGGTTAAATAGAGTTTTATACTATTTCCAAAACCTTATATTAAAACCTTATATTAAAAAGAGTATCATATATGAAGTATATAAGTACGCTTATTTATAAATACAATCAATCATGACATTTTGACCTGTTATAGCAGGTTAGTCCGTATTTTTTTAGGTAAGTGTACTTAGCTTATTGATACTCATTCCGTTCTATAA